TCATTCCATGTATGGCCCATCTGCTCAGTTTCACTCATACCCACATGTGAGTATAAACACGCAGTATTTAGTTTTCTGTGCCTGGTTTGTTTCCCACCGTGAACTGTAGGCTCCTCCGTGCTGTCACACGTGGCAGGATATTTTGAAGGCTGAGTGTGTTGCCTTATGTGTGTACCACGTTTTCTCTTTGCGTGTGTCTGTTGAACACTTAGGTGGATTACACATCTCAGCTATTATAAATAGTGGGATGGTGAACACAGAAGCAGCGATATGTTTTTGACATGACTGGGTAAGTGACCAGATCGCTGAATCATATGGTATTAATCTATTTGCGGTTTCTTGAGAAATCTCTGCACTGTTTTCCATAATGGCTGTGCTGTTAAATTTCCACCAACAGTGGAAGGCAGTTTTTCTCTGCATCCTTGCCAGCATTTATTTTTCGTGTTTTTTCATAATAGCCATTCTAACTGGAGGGAAATGCAAATCACAACCACAGTGAGATTGTGGTATAAGTGATGTTGGATTTGTTCACATGTCTGTTGGCCATTTGTGTGTCTTTTAAGAAATGTCTGTTCAGGTTTTTGCCTGCTTTTTAAATGGCTTAGTGGGAATTTTGCTATATAGTTCTTTAAGTTTCTTGTATATTCTGGGTATTAGGCCCTTGCCAGATGATTATTTTGCAAACATTTTGTCCCACTCTGCACGTTTGTTTGTTTGAGACAGCCTCACTCTGTTGGGCAGGCTGGAGTGCAGTGGCACCATTTCGGCTCACTGCAACCTCTGCCTCCTGAGTAGCTGGGATTACAAGAATGCACCATCATGACCAGCTAATCTTTGTATTTTTAGTAGAGACAGGGTTTCACCATGTTGGTCAGGCTGGTCTTGAACTCCTGACCTCAGGTGATCTGCCCACCTCAGCCTCCCAAAGTGCAGGGATTACAGGCATGAGCCACCGCATCTGGTCACATAGAGACATCATTGTTCTGACTTAGGTTTCTTCTGTGTTTTTACCATAAAGGAATGCTGAATTAAACTCTTGCTCTGCATGTCTTGGTGATTATATGGTCTTTGTTCTTATTTCTGCTGATATGGTGTATTACATTTATTGATGTACACATGAGAAACCATCCTTGCATCCCAGAGATGAATCCCACTTGATCATGGTGAATGATCTTTTTGATGTAATCTATATTTGGTTTGCTAGAATTTCGTTGAAGATTTTTGCGTCTATGTTCATGAGAGATACTAGCCTCTAGTTTTCTTTTCTTCACGTCCTTGTCTGGTTTTGGTGTCAGATCAGTGCTTGGTTCATAGAATGAGTTAGGAAGAATTCTTTCCCCTTTAGTTCTCCGAATAGTTTGAAGGATTGATGTAAGTTATTTTAAAAGTTTAAAAGGTAGCTGGGTGTGGTCATGCCTGTAATCCCAGCACTCTAGGAGGCTGAGGGAGACAGATCATTTGAGGACAGGAGTTTGAGACCAGTCTGGCCAACATGGTAAAACCTCATCTCTACCAAAAATACCAAAAACTTTGATAAAAATACCAAAAAATTAGCTAGGCGGACCCCTGTGATCCCAGCTACTCAGGAGCCTGAGGCAGTAGGATCACTTGAGCCCAGGAGGCAGCGGTTGGAATGAGCTGAGATTGCATCACTGCATTCCAGCCTGGGTGACAGAGCGAGACTCTATCTTACTTAAAAAAAAAAAAAAAAAATCTAATTGGAAGGGTATCTAGTCCTAGTTTGTAAAGTGTTTCTGTTGATACTATTTATGCATCCATTTAAGTTAAATATTTTTGTTGGAGGTAGGGGCAAGAAGTACCATCTACTCTTAGAAATGCTTTTATCATAATCAAAATAACCATGGTAGCACAAAATCAAACATCTTTTTCCTGGAGGGTGGGTAGGTTAATGGAAACCTTGCCTCTTCCATTCCTCTTCTAATTCCTCCGTTGAAATTAAGTAGGAATTCCAGAGATCTGATTAGATTTCTCTTACCTCTGTCCTGAATTTCAGACATTCTAAAATTATAAAAACAGAAGAAACCTGGTGTGGTAGTCTGCGCCTATAGTCCCAGCTACTTGGGAGTCCGAGGCAGAAAGATCACTTGGGCCCAGTTCAAGGCTGTGGCGAGCTATGGTAGTCACTGTACTCCAGCCTGGTACGGAGTGAGACCTGTCTCTAAAAATATACACATATGAGGCCAGGTGTGGTGGCTCGTGCTTGTAATCCCAGCACTTTGGGAGGCCAAGGTGGGTGGCTCACAAGGTCAGGAGTTTCAGACCAGCCTGATGAACATAGTGAAACCCCGCCTCTACTAAAAATACAAAAAATTAGTGGGGCATGGTGACAGGTGGTATTTGGTATTTTGGTATTTTGGTACTCGGGAGGCGGAGACAGGAGAATCACTTGAATCTGGGATGTAGAGGTTGCGGTAAGCCAAGATGGTGCCATTGCACCCCAGCCTGGGTGACAGTGTGAGACTGTCTCTAAAACACACACACACAGACGAATACTTTACCCTCACCTGCACCTTCACAAGTTGAAGCAAATCCTAAATCCATATTTATTTTTAATTGACAATAATTGTGTATATTTGTGGGGTACAATGCAATGTTTTGATATGTCTACCTTGCAGGAAAAAACCCAGCATGTCCATCACCTCAGTTACTTTTTGTGGTGAGAATGTTTAAAATCTACTTTTAGCCACTTTGGAGCATAGATGAATAATACATCTTTTCTGGAATTCCATGGCAGATTAGAGGCATCATTATTAATGCAGTCACCGTGCTGTGCAGGAGATCCCAAAACTCACTTCTCCAGTCTCACTGAAACATGTTTGTACCTTTTCACCAACATCGTTTCCCCATATTTTCCCCTAGTGTCTGGCAACCATCTTTCTACTCTCTGCTGCTATGAATTTGATTGTCCATGTAATTGAGATCCTACTAAATCTAAAGACGATCCCAGTAGCCTCTTAAACCTGAGTGCTTGTCACGTTACAGACTCTTCTGCTCAGGACGTCTGGGTCTGGCAGGAGCTTTCGAGCAGCTGGTGGTCAGGGTCCACGTGCATGCTCTGTGCCAGCCCTTCCGAACCGGCTCACTTGTTCTCTCACTGAAACCCCACAGTAACCCTTGAAGAAGTAGATTCTCTGATTTCCAGCTTCCAGAGGAGAGATCCCATCCTTAGATGTTGAGTTGTTTTCCATGGGGATGTATCACAAAGGTTGTGGAAGAGCTTGGAGCTGCCACTCGGCTCTGAGAATCGCCACAGCAGTCTACAACCCCTTACAGTTGAGTCACCTATGAGGAAACTGACCCTTGCCTCGGTACCATGACGCATGGACCTAACCCCATGCCCTCGCTGCTGTCTGCTGCAGTGTTACTAGCAATGCACTGGAGCAGGACTTGACTGGGGTAGCAAGAAGAGGAAGGAAGGCAGGAAAAAGCCATCTTAGCTTCTCCAGGAAGTTGGTCAACCCATGGCAGTTGTCCAGGGAATACCACCTCTTACCTCTTCTCAGAGACCCTTCCTGTAGAGAGGTTATTTGTGATAACCTGTTTCCTATATTCCGGGAAAAAATTGTGCCCACATATGTCACCTCATCTTTTAAATTGTACTAAATTACTAAGTCAGAGCAGGGCTAGAAATACTCAAACTTGACTGGGAACAGTAGCATATGCCTGCAATCCCAACACTTAGGGAGGCCAGGGCAAGAGGATCACTTGAGCCCAGGGGTTTGAAGCCAGCCTGAGCAACATAGTGAGAACTTGTCTCTACTTAAAAAAAAAAAAAAAAAAAAAAAAGTGCAGTCATTGCAAGCCTGTGGCTCCAGCTACTAGGAAGGCTGAGGCGAGAAGATTGCTTCAACCCAGGAGTTCAAGGCTGCAGTGAGCTGTGACTGCACCACTGTACTCCAGCCTGGGCAACAGAGCAAGACTTAGTCTTAAAAACTCGAGGCCGGGGGTGGCGGCTCACGCCTGTATTCCCAGCACTATGGGAGGCTGAGGTAGGCAGATCACAAGGTCAGGAGTTTGAGACCAGCCTGGTCAACATAGTAAAACCATGTCTCTACTAAAGCTACAAAAATTAGCTGGGCATCGTAGCACATGCCTGTAATCCCAGCTACTCAGGAGGCTGAGGCAGGAGAATCGCTTGAACCTGGGAGGTAGAGGTTGTGGTGAGCAGAGATAGCACCATTGCCCTCCAGCCTGGCAGCAGAGTGAGACTCCATAACAAAAAATAAACAAACTCGAGCTTATTAAATAGATTTTAGCTATTATGGCATCCCTAAGGTCTTGCCTCCCAGGTTAATCCCTCTATAAATATTTTCTGTGTGATTTATAATTTATCTTCTGACTCTGGCGATTAAGTTAATCTGAGCCCATCTTAAAACCTTCCCATGGAAACAAGGGTAGGCAGAAGGAAAGACAGGTGGTAACGACTGGGGACAAGTTTGTGCCTGCAGGTCAAAGGAGCGTAAAGCAGGTGCCCTGTCTTAACCAGCAAAACAAACATCAGTGTTAAAGGGACCTGCCCCCTGCAGGCTGATCTTTACCTTGGTGGGATGATGCTTGCAGTACCGGGGAGGTGACATACCAGGACTGTACTGTGTATCTGCAAGTCTAGCTCAAAAATGGCTATAAATCCACAGACGTCAGCAAGGGTGGCCTCCTGCCAATAGTGTCCCTCAGAAAATGACAAGCTGCTGCCTACTTGAGCCTTTAAGACATTTCATTACACGGCCTTCCTTGGATTGCCTGGTCATCTACCACGAGGTCATGGTTGGTGAAAACCAGGTTTGCTCAAACTGACCAACTAGTACTGGTTGTTGCTATTTACAGAGCTTTTATAATGGTTAAAAAAGGAAATTTGAGAGACTTGGGAATTACCGCTTGGGCCTTATAACAAGCGTTACGTTCTGAAGTCATCATGGACCAGGATTGGAGACGACTTTGAGACGTATTCATAGCAGAGGTCCTGAATGTGTACCTGTAAAATGAGTCAGCAGGCAGGGAGGGATAGAGTCAGTGCCGATGGTGAGTTATGACGTCAACCTTTTCCTGTGGTCCTTAGCCATTTGCATAGCGCTCTGGAGAAACGGATATTCGGACCCTTTGCGCATATTAAATTGGGTTATTTGTCTCCCTGTTAGTGTGTTTATATTATCTAGATATAAACCCCTTATCGGATATGACTTTCGAGTATTAGTTTATTGTTATGCCAAGACTGTTGAACTGTGTTTGCAGTCTTTACAGGTGCAACAGAAATCGACTTAGCTAAGACCCCTGTAGCTGGTTATTAGTAACTGATAGGAATCTCTTGGCCAGGATTTTTGTTTTTTGAGATGGAACCTTATTGTCTAAGCTGTGGTGCAATGGTGCAATCTCACCTCACTGCAACCTCTGCCTTCCAGGTTCAAGCGATTCTCCTGCCTCAGCCTCCCAAGGAGCAGCGATTACAGGCATGGACCACCATGCCTGGTGAATTTTTTTTTTTTTTTTTGTATTTTTAGTAGAGATGGGATTTCATCATATTGGCTAGGCTGGTCTCGAACTCCTGACCTCAGGTGATCCACCTGCCTTGGCCTCCCAAAGTGCTGGGATTACAGGTGTGACCCACCACGCCTGGCCGTTGCTGGCATTTGAGCATAACGTAGTAGCCAAGAGCATCCGTGACATGCATGTAAAATGTTATTCTAAGATGCTGTTTGGGAACTGAGGGTACAGACCACAAAATACCCAGCACTGATGTTCCAGTAACAGGATAAACGGGTACTGTGGCAATAAATGTTTTGTCCATGAAGAATTGAAAAGGAAGAGTGAAGTTTGTTCGTTAGTGAGGTGACAAACATGAGTTGTAGAATTCTCATGACTTGAGAATTTGCTGCAAACTCATCTTTTGAGTCTTGACACGCTTTCCACAGGTCCTACCTGCCCGTGTTACAAAAAAATCTGCCTCCCCCACCAAACCCCGAATTCTCAGCCTCGTATCAACATGGAAGAAAATAGACTGCTCACCTTTTCCAGCTACGGACTCCAGTGGTGTCTCGAAGAGCTAGACAAGGAAGAATTTCAGACATTTAAGAAATTGCTCAAGAAGACATCTTCAGAGTCGACCACATGCACTATTCCACAGTCTGAAATAGAGAATGCCAATGTGGAATGCCTGGCACTCCTCTTGCATGAGTATTACGGGCGGTCGCTTGCCTGGTCCACAGCCATTAGCATCTTGGAAACCATGAACCTGCGAACACTCTCCGAGAAGGCAAGGGATGACATGAAACGTAAGTGACACTTGGGGCAAGTCGAGGGCAGGGAGAGGAGGGGGTTTCGGATTCTCGTGGGAACAGGGAAGGCTCATTGTTCTGTAGTCGGGTGGTCACACCTCTGCAGTGTGAGGAGGGCATTTTTGGTCACCGTCATTGGCTGGACATTGGTCTCTAGCCTGTAAAATGAAGGAGGAGGGAGAAATGGGTAGACAATGACTCCACCCACACGGACTCCCATTGAAGTTCAAAGGATTTGAAGTGTCTGTGCTATGCTTCAGCTCCGGAGCTAACACGGGTCAGTCGTGAGACGTTGGGAACATCTCCTTCTATTCTGACTCTTGGTTCCCACATCTCGGAATAGCACACGTGATACTGTATGTGCCACTGCAGAAGTTGGCTAATGCAATGCACGGACGCTGGCTGAGGACCTCATTGGGTTATTGAGAACACTAATATTGCCGTTCTTGTGCTTGGTCGTGGGGCGGAGGACTCGGGTTCCGGGTGCTGATGTGTGGCTCGGTCTTAGATTGTTGGTGTCCATATTGCAGCAAGAATTCAGATCAGATTCTGTGATTATTTTAGGGCATTGAGGAGAAAGGTTTTTTTTTTTTTTTTAAGTAATTCTTTTATCTGGAGAATCTCTCTTCAACTATTGACTGAAAACAACCTCTTGACAGAGCCCCTGAATTGGCCCTACAAATACTGCTGTGGGCTGGGCACTGTGGCTCATGCCTGTAATCCCAGCACTTTGGGAGGCCAAGGTGGGTGGATCACCTGAGGTCAGGAGTTTGAGACCAGCCTGACCAACATGGTGAAACCATGTCTCCATTAAAAACACAAAATAATAGCTGGGCATGGTGGTATGTGCCTGTAATCCCAACTACTTGGGAAGCTGAGGCAGGAAAATCACTTCAACCTGGGAGGCAGAGGTTTCAGGGAGCTGAGATTGCACCGTTGCACTCCAGCCTGGGCAACAGAGTGAGACTGTCTCAAAAAAAAAAAAAAAAAAAATGTGGCCTGCCTGCCCATCAATCATCCAGATGCAGCTCAGGAGTTTTACCTGCAGAGGACTTGAAGCATACTCTGTTCTGAACTTGGAAGAGGCCCCATGTGCAGGGCATGTTGGTATTATTCACAGGAAGAGAGGGCATAGGAATGAGAGCTGGGGTTCATCAAGTCAGCACTGCACTGAAACTGTCATGTACCGCACCGCTGACTCTCAAACCGCCCCCCCACCCCACCAGTGAAGTGGACTCCTGGTGGCTGAAGCGGCGATACAGAATCTTCTACATTACCTCACTTGACCAAGTTCACGGGCTGATAAGTGGCAAAGATGAGTGTCATGGTTTCACGTTCATCTACTATGGCCTATGTTTAAATTCTCATATGTCAAGTACCAGAGATTTGCAGCTTTCCATGAGGTAGAAAGAAAGGGGCGACTAAAGATGGATGGTAGAGGCCAGGTGGGGTGGCTCATGCCTGTAATCCCAGCACTCTGGGAAGCTGAGGTGGGTGGATCATTGAAGGTCAGGAGTTCAAGACCAGCCTGGGCCAACATGGTGAAACCCCATCTCTACTAAAAATACAAAAATCAGCCTGACGTGGCGGTGCTTGCCTGTAAACTCAACTACTTGGGAGGCTGAGGTAGGAGAATTGCTTGAACCCAGGAGGCGGAGGTTGCGGTGAGCCGAGATCGCGCCATTGCACTCCAGCCTGGGTAACAAGAGTGAAACTCTGTCTCAAAAAAAAAAAAAAAAGAAAAAAAAATACAAAAAACTAGCCAGCTGTTGTGGTGGCCACCTGTAATCCCAACTACTTGGGAGGCTGGGGCAGAAGAATAGCTTGAACCCAGGAGGCAGAGGTTGCAGTGAGTTGAGATCATGCCATTGCACTCCAGCCTGGTGACAGAGCAAGACTCTGTCTCAAAGAGACAAAATATTTGTAATTGCAAATAGAAGCAATTAAATAGCTTTAAAGGGTTGATAGTAGAAATAATCAGTTCGGCCGGGCGCGGTGGCTCAAGTCTGTAATCCCAGCACTTTGGGAGGCCGAGGCGGGTGGATCACGAGGTCCAGAGATCGAGACCATCCTGGTCAACATGGTGAAACCCCGTCTCTACTAAAAATAAAAAAATTAGCTGGGCATGGTGGCGCACGCCTGTAGTCCCAGCTACTAGGGAGGCTGAGGCAGGAGAATTGCTTGAACCCAGGGGGTGGAGGTTGCGGTGAGCCGAGATAGTGCCATTGCACTCCAGCCTGGGTAACAAGAGCGAAACCCCGTCTCAAAAAAAAAAAAAAAAAAAAAAAAAAAAAAAAAAAAAAGAAAAGAAAAGAAATAATCAGTTCTATTTCTACACTGTTATAAAGTGCAGAGTGGCCCAGGAGGGAGTGTTGGATAGATGTGGGGAGAAGTTTCATGTCTTGTCCATGAGAGAAATAAAGGTGGGTTAGAATAGGATGATGGCAGAGAAACAAGTAGAAATGGAAGATGCTCCAGAAGCATACAGGACAGTTCCTAAGAACTAAATGCAGAGAGAAGACAGTGTCGTGGGTGATCCCCGTGTTTCTGGCGTGATAAACTGGGTGGATGGGATTCCATGACCTCACCTCATGGAAGAGATATTTTGTGAAAAGTAGATTGGGGGGTGGATAGCCAAGGTTGGACCTTGTAAGTTGAGGGCACCTGTATTTGGATAACTCACAGGCCTTGAATGAGTCATTGACTAACTGGGTCTGGCGCTCAGCACAGGTTTTGAGAAGGACTCCAGAAAAGAAACTTAATCACCATAACTAACCTCATGTGACTTGTCCAAGGCCATCCAGCAAAACTGGAGCCGGAGAATTCTCTGTAAGGCTCTGTTCTTCAGTGTGCTGCTGGCCCAGGAAGGTCCGACTCCATTGTCGCCGTTATGGGCTGAGATCCTGAGGTTGGTCTTGGTTCCCTCCATAATTTGGGCACAGGAGATTCTTAACCTTGGGTTGGGGAGTTACTATGACTTCATTGACCCCAGTCTCCCCTTTACTTTTGTTCTTGCAGTACATTTACCAGAAGATCTTCGACCGAGAGCGACTTACCAGGGGCCAAACAAGAAGGAAGTGCCAGGTTAGAGGGGTGCGGGGGGGGGGAAGGATGTGCTGAAGGCCACGTGGCAGCCAGTTGGCACCTTTTTTATTTTTGAGATGGAGTCTCGCTCTGTGGCCCAGCCTGGAGTGTAGTGGTACGATCTCGGCTCACTGCAACCTCTACCTCCCAGGTCCTGGTTCAAGCAATTCTCCTGCCTCAGCCTCCGGAGTTGCTGGAATTACAGGCATGAGCCACCATGCACAGCTAATTTTTGTATTTTTACTGGAGATGGGGTTTCACCATGTTGGCCAGGCTGGTCTTGAACTCCTGACCTCATGATCCACCCACCTCAACCTCCCAAAGTGATGGGATTACAGGCATGAGCCACCGCACCCAGCAACCGGTTTGTACTTCTAGGAGTAAAACCGTGACTTCTGATAGCCCGGCTTTCTGTCCAGTCTAACCACCTTACTGTTAGCTGACCAGGTGGGCTCTGAGGATCTGATCATTCTGGTCCCTCTCCTGCCAAGTTCAAGATTTCTGTGGGCTTAAGGCTTTCTTACAATGTGAGGGCTTCCCATCTTCAGTGTGGATAACTAAGGACCTTATTATGACAAGCTCCTCCCAGTAACCCAGTTTGGAGGCTTTGGTGGAGAGAATCAGATGGCACGAACCCAGGCTCAATACAATTCCCCAAACCTTTGAGTCCTGACCCCGTGCCTAGGCGCGATTCTGCACAGTTCCAATACATCGCTGGCCGAAGCACAGGTGGATCCTGTGTGTTGATGACGTTCACACTGTGGGACAGGGAAGATAAGCCAAAAAACTAAGATGAAACCAGGGAAGGCAAAACCAACGGGGAGAAAAGCAGGCTTGTGTAGACAACATGCATTCTCTGCTGCCACCCTCGCCGCCACCAGCTTGCTCAGCTACCAGCAGCCAGTGTTGACAGTGAAAACTAGTCTGGTTTGGAAGGGGCTGAAACCAGTCTCGCTTTGATGAAGTTAGTTCAGGCTGTGGGTAGGAAAGAACTCTTCAGCCGGGCGTGGTGGCTCATGCCTGTTATCCCAGCACTTTGGGAGGCTGAGGCGGGCAGATCACAAGGTCAGGAGTTCGAGACCAAGCCTGGCCAATATGGTGAAACCCCATCTTTACTAAAGATAAAAAAATTAGCCAGGCATGGTGGCAGGTACCTGTAGTCCCAGCTGCTTGGGAGGCTGAGGCAGGAGAATAGGTTGAACCCAGGAGCTGGAGATTGCAGTGAGCCAAGATTGCACCACTGAACTCCAGCCTGGGCAACAGAGCAAGACTTTGTCTCCAAAAAAAAAAAAAAAAAAAAAAACACAAAAACAAAAAACAAACTCCTCAAAGCCAACATCCGAGTCACTGACATCTGAGTCCCAAAGTTCAACATTGCTCAGAGTTTGATGTAAATCTGGGTTTTACACAGTTATGTGTTATCCTTCATATGATAACACTGTCTTCTAGGTGTAAGGTCCTCCGAAAGGATGGACAGGCAGACTCAGGGTCAGGTTTAGCAAGTTTCTTTCAACCTGCCAGGCTGGGTGCCTGGTGCCTGCCTCATCATAGGCAGTGAAGGAAGCAGCCTGGCTTACAGACTGCAGGGATTATTTAGGGGGTTTGCAGGTAGCCAGGTGCTATTCCAAGAAAAACTGCCTCGTGATTCTTAAGTGCTAACATCCTCCTTAATTGAGTCACCATCCTGGGTTTGAGAGCCGGGTACAACCACATCCCGGAACCCAGGTGCCTGTGAGGCTGTTTTTGCTGTGAGCTCGGCTTAGCAGGGGAGAATGGGGAAGGGGGTCTATGGGGCTTGCTGTGATCCTAACGATAGGTATTATAAGTGACTGAATGGTGGCTTTAGAGATAGCGTAAAATAAACACACAGAGTAACCTTGATAGCAGGACCAAAAGGAAACTGACAAAAGCCAGAAGTCTTGGCATCAGCCACACGAGGAGATTCCTCTGAACTACTCCTGGACACAAGAGCTACCACTTGAGACCCTGTGGGTCTAGCGCTGCACCAGTGTTTGAGCTCATGAGTCCAAACCTACATGTACCTTAGTGACTGCCATCAATTGTCCAGTGAGACTCAGAAGCTCAATGGCACGCTAAAACCTCACATGGTAAACTGAGGCAAGGCCAGCTTGGGCCAGAAAGACTTGACTCCTGGTGTTATCCATGTACAAAGAACCCACTCTCCCCTCAGAGCTTACATCATAGAGGATCACAAGCCTCCTCATCACTCCTGATTGGCTGGATATAGAAAGATGTCCCTTGAAACTAAGCCAACCCAATAATGCAGTTTTTTATCAAGCTGTAGAATCCCATGTGGTATAGGCATAGAATAATACTTGGCATGAAAAGGAATGGCATAGCTAGACATGGTGGCTCATACCTGGAATCGCAGCATTTGGGGAGACTGAGACAGATAGATCGCTTGAACCTAGGATATCGAGACCAACCTGGGCAATGTAGCAAGATCCCATGCCTACAAAAACATTTAAAATAGCTGGGTGTGGGAGTGTGTACCTGTGGTCCCAGCTACTTGGAAGGCTGGGTCATGAGGATTGCTTGAGTCTAGGGGGGGGCATTGAGGCCGCAGTGAGCCGTGACTGTACCATTGCACTCCTGCAGGATAAAACGAGACTGTCTCAAAAAAGTACTAATGTATGCTACAAAATGGATAGACCTTGAAGACACTAGGCTAAATGAAGGAAACCACTGAAGGATTCCATTCATATAAAATGTCTAGAATCGGCAAATCCATTTAAATACTAAAAGTACATCAGTGGTCACGTAGGGCTGGGGTGAATAAGGATGATGACTAAGAGGGCAGACTTTGAGGGTGATTTAAAAAAATGTTCTAAAATTGTGATGGTTACAATCTGAATATTCTCAACCATAATTGTACACTTTGAATGGGTGAATGGTATGATTTGTGAATTTTATTTCAATCTATGACAAAACTCTAGAGAAGACACATACACCCCTCTGACGTTGGCATTGTACACGTGATTCTAAAGCCCAGAGGGACAGATTTGCCCAAGGTAGATGAACCAACAGAAAGCCTGATTTTTTATTCAGACAAAGATGTCATCTTTGTGTTAGGTCTTAAAAATCCTGTGTAACTTCAGATTGTTTCATCTCTTAGATGACTAATCTATTTAGTCCAACAGGTTGAATGCATTATGATGCTGAAGACGTAGCTCCTCATAGAAATCCACCCCCACAAGGAAAAGTGTTCTTCCCTAGCGTTGCTTTTTCTTCAGATGACTCTGTGCCAGTTTATATATCATAAAATCTTAAGAGTACAATTCAATGATTTACAAACATGAAATCGCCACAATCCAATCTTAGTACATTTCTGTCGACGTAGTAGGTGTGAAATACTGTGGTTTTTACTTAGATGTCCCTAGTTACATTCAGCATCTTTTCGTGTGCTTACTGGCCACTTCTATGTCTTCAGATAAATGTATATTCAAATCCTTTGTCCATTGTTAACTTGATGATATTGTTGACTCGCAATACTTTGTTGTTGTTGTTGTGCTTTAAGTCTGGGGTACACGTGCAGATCTTGCAGGATTGTTGCATGGGTACACACATGCCACAGTGGTTTGCTGTCTCCATCCCCCCATCACCTACATCGGCCATTTCTCCCAGTATTATCCCTCCCCAACCTCCCCGCCTCCCGCTATCCCTCCCCTGGCCCACTGCCCTCCAACATAACCCAGTGTGTAGTGCTCCCCTCCCTCTGTCCATGTGTTCTCATTGTTCAACACCTGCCTATGAGTGAGAAGATGCGGTCTTTGGTTTTCTGTTCTCGTGTCAGTTTGCTGAGAATAATGGTTTCCAGATTCATCCATGTCCCTAAGAGGGACCCGAACTCATTTTTCATGGCTGCATACCTTTCCATAGTGCCACATTTCTTTGTCCAGTCTATCATTGGTGGGCAACTTGTGATACTTTTCTACGTTTCTGACCAAAAAAAAAATGTTCTTCAGCAGAGACAAAAGAACAAGGTGAAGAAAATTGGCCTGTTTTATTTTTGCGTAATTTGATCTTACAATTATTTACCCTGAACCTGTTGTTATAATGAATGACGCAGATTTCTTTCCAGTGTTAAATCGCTCTTGCTTTCCTGGAATACATGTGACGTAAGCACTGTTACATATCTTTTGATACACTTTTGGACACAGTTTGCTGATAAGTCACTTAGGATTTGGCATCTGTGTTTGAACTGGCCTATAATTTCTTCATTTATTTTCCTTCTTTAAAGTTGAGATGAAATTCACATACCATGAAATTAATCTTAATACAATTCAGTGTTTAGTGTGTTAACAAATTTGTGCAACCATCGCTGCTACCTAATTTCAGAAAACTTGCATCACCCCAAAAAGCTACATACCTGTTAGCAATCATTCCCCAACACCCAACCCCTGGAAACTGGTCATCTGTTATTTCTGAATTTTGCCTTTCCTGAACCTTCCATATAAATGCAGCCAGACATGTATTTTGTGACTGGCTTCCTTCATTTAACTTTTTTTTTTTTTTTTTTTTAAGGAGGAGTCTTGCTCTGTCGCTCAGGCTGCAGTGCAGTTGTGCCATCTAAACTCACTGTAACCTCCACCTCCTGGGTTCAAGTGATTCTTGTGCCTCAGCCTCCCTAGTAGCTGGGACTACAAGTGCCTGCCACCACACCGGACTAATTTTTATATTTTTTAAGTAGAGATGGGGTTTCACCATATTGGCCAGGCTAGTCTCGAACTCCTGTCCTTGTGATCCACACACCTCAGCCTCCCAAAGTGCTGGGATTACAGGCATGAGTCACCGCACCTGGCCCATTGAACACAATACTTCAAATAGTTGTCAGTATCATACCGTGTTTCAGGACTCCATAACTTGTTATGGCTGAATAGTATTTCATATACCACTTCTTATTCACATGATGGACATTTGGGTTTTGTCTTCTGGGCTATTATGAACGGTGCAGCTGTGGGTTCTCACGTGCATGTTTGTGTAGACACGTGTTTTCTATTCAAGGAGGTGTATACTTAGGAGTGGAATTGGTGGGTCCCATGCCAACTGTGTTTAACTTTTTGAGGAATTGCCAGATGGGTTTTCCTAAGTGACTGCACCATTTTGCATCCTCACCAACACCTTAATGAAAGCGACAGTAACGTTTGCTGCTCTATTTTTTATAGTAACCATCCTAGTAGGTGTGAAATACTCACTGTGGTTTTGATATTCTGAACATCATCAGGGAAATTCATCTTTTCATGTGCTTACTGGCGACGTCTATGTCTTCAGAGAAACGTGTATTCAAATCCTTCATCCACTTTCAACTTGATTATGTTGTTGACTTGAAATACTTGACTGAGGTTCTATCCAGATTATGTAGAGGCAGGATTTTGAATAGAGATGCCCCTGTTCTCTGGGTTGTCTTTTCACGTTCCTGATACTGTCCTTTGAAGCACAGGAGGCTTGAATTTTATGAAGACAAATTTATTTCTTTGATTGTTTGTCCTTTTGGTGTTACATCTTTAAAAAAAAAATACGTAACGCAAAATCAGAAAGTTTACAGCATTTCCTCTTAAAGATTTTGTAGGCACAGGTCCTTTTTATTTTATTTTATTTTTCTGAGATGCCATCTTGCTCTGTAGCTCAGGCTGGAGTGCAGTGGCCCAATCTCAGTTCACTGCAACCTCCACCTCCTGGGTCCCAAGTAGGATACTAGCTATTCTCCTACCTCAGCCTCCCAAGTAGCTGGGATTACAGGCACAAACCATCATGCCCAGCCAATTTTTGTATTTTTTAGTAGAGACGGGGTTTCACCATGTTGGCCAGTCTGGTCTTGAACTCCCGACCTCGTGAGCAGCCCTCCTCGGCTTCTCAAAGTGGTGGGTTACAGTCATGAGCCACCGTGCCCAGCATAGGTACAGCTCTTAAAGGCATTTAGGTCTTTAAACATTTTGAGCTAATTCTGTATATGGCATGAAGTAGAGGGTTCAATTTCAACCTTTTGTGTGTAGATAAGCAGTTCTCCAGCAATGTTTATTGGAAGGACTGTTCTTGTGTAGATATTCTTGCATAAAATCATAGGTGTATGGATTTATTTGCAAGCTTTCAAGCCTATACCTTTGATGTCTATGACCTTGTGCCTGAATCACACTTACTTAATTGCTGTTGCTTTATGGTTTTGAAATCAAAGTGTGATTCTCCAGCTTGACTTCAAGGTAGATTGGCTATTCTGGGTCTCTTGAATTTCCATGTGAATTTTAATATCGGTCAACTTTACAATTTTGGCAAACAAAGATAGCTGGAATTTTGATTAGACTGAATTATGTCATGTTGATGAATGTTGGGTATATGACACATTAACAACGTTAAGTCTTTCAAACCGTAGACACAAGATGGACTTTGCCTTAATTTAGGGTTTTCTCAACTTTTTTGTTACATTTTTGTGGCTTTCAGAATGAAGGTCTCTCATTTCACTTGTTAAATTTATTCTGAAATATTCTGTGCTATTATGGAGTTGTTCACTTTAATGGCTGGTGCATAGAAGAACTTTGGATATTGAATCATCTGATCTTGAATCTAATGCTGATGTTACTAGCACACTCAGCCCTGGCACTGAGCCAGTGGCTCTATGCTCTAAACTAGTCAGAAGATTAAATGTACCATGTAATCTAAGTTGATCTGGGATGTCTAACAGCTCCGATTTGAGTCATAACACAGTATATTGGTGTCTATTCTTTTCCCTTCTCTTCTGCAGAAATTTCACAAGCTATGAAACAAGATAGTGCCACAGCTTCAGAGGCAGAAGAACAAGGTGAATGCAATATTTATTCGTTTGTTGCCCTCCTGGATGGCAGTTGGGTGAGAGACGTCCACATTGTTGAAATGGCAGGGAAAGCCACTTCCCCTTTTTTCATCCTCATTTGTCTCTGGTGTGTGAGTCCCTCCCTGAGAGACCTTGGGGTCAGCACCATGGACACAACCTTGCACATTCACTGTGATGACCTACATTGCAGTTTTTTTAACTGAAAAATAAAAATTGTATATATTTATGGGGTTGTGAGGTTTCAGTACATGTATATATTATAGAATGATCAAATCAGGCTAATGAGCCTATCTGTCACCTCAAATATCCTTTGTGCTGAGAACCTTTAAAATCCTCTTCTAGCTATTTTGACATATACCTTGTTATTAACCCGTCACCATGTTGTGCAGAACACGAGAACTTAACTCCTCCTTGCCCAGCTGTCACTTTGTACCTGTTGACAGCTGTTTTCCAACTTTGCCTGTCCACTCTCTGCCCCACCAGCTGCTGGTAACTGCTGCTCTACCCTCTCATTCTGAGTTTGACATTTTTAGATGCCACCTGTGAGATCCTCCTGTGTTTCTGTGTGCCTGGCTTACTTCATGTAACATAATTGCCTCTAGGTTCCTTGATGCTGTAGCAAATGACAGAATTTCTTGTGTGTTTTAGGGCTGAATAACCCATTGTGTATATAAACCAAATCTTTTTTTTGTTTGAGACGGGGTTTCGTTCTTGTTGCCCGGGCTGGAGTGCGATGGCACGATCTCTGCTCACTGCAACCTCTGCCTCCCATGTTCAAGCAATTCTCCTGCCTCAGCCTCCTGACTAGCTGGGATTACAGGCATGCACCACCATGCCTGGCTAATTTTTCTATTTCTAGTAGCAAAGGGTTTCTCCGTGTTGGCCAGGCTTGTCTCAAACTCCCGACCTCAGGTGTTTGTTCTTATCCCTTTTCTTTTGCAGAAATTTCACAATATGGTCATTGCATTTTTAGTGTTCTGAGAAATCTCTGTGCTGTTTTCCAAAACACCTGTACTAACTTACAATCGCAGTCAATGTATAGGAGTTTTCTTATAAAGACAAATTCCAAAGATCCTTAATTCTAGTGGACTCAGGCTTCAAACACAAGCTGAGTAGTGAAGTGCTTTGTTCCGGATTAGATAGAATCTTTAATTCCTTCTATTAACCAGTGCTTAGTGAATAACTATCATTTGAAGAACTGTGATGGGAATAAATGTTAAGAAAAATATTTCTTGCCTTCATGGTATTGAGAACGCCAGAATTCCGTAGTAATTAAATATGAGTAATGTTACTCTTTAATGTTTAGTATTTACATGTTATATATTTAAACATAAATATTTATATTTAAAAATATAATATATAACTATAATTAAATGTAAATATTTATATAATATTAATCTTTAATTAAGCAGAGCATAATGTTTCAAAATTTCTCACTGTTGGAGCTCCCATCAGCACTTCGTTCGTTTTTACTGCCAAGAAGTACTCCATTGTACAGACACACCATTTTCTTGATCTATTTATCAGTTGATGGCTGTGTATATGCGTGGTTTGCTCTGATGACATACTGCTGTAAATATTCACATGCAATCCTTAATATGGAAATAGGATTAATTTATGATTGATTAATATGGAATTATGATTAATTTAAGAAACTTTAATGTGGAATTAGTTGGGATTAATTTGATTGATGTGGAATCAATTAGGATAAAGATGCTGTCCACCTCTGGATGTTGTGAGATGGGAGTGGGACAGTCTAAGAGCAGCCTTCCCCCAGGAAATGGGGCCTGAGGCTTTTTATTGAGAGGTAACCCACATTCCATAAAGTTGATTCTCTTCAAGTGTGAAACTCGGCGGGTTTGGTAGATTCCCACTTGCACAGCATCTAATTCCACAACATTTTCCTCTCCCAGAAAAATTCCTCTCCCTGGGCAGTTGGTCCCTTTTCTCTTGTCCCTCAGGCCCTGGAAACCATTCGTCACCTCTCTACGGTTTTGCCTATTCTGGGTCTTTTGTATACATAGAATCATGCAAGATGTGGCCTTCTGGGATAAGTTGTTTTGTTTTGTTTTGTTTGATGGTGTCTTACTCTGCTGTCCAGGCTGGAGTGCAGTGGCATCTCAGCTCACTGCAATGTCCACCTCCTGGGTTCAAGCAATTATCCTCCCTAAGCCTCCCAAGTAGCCAGGGCTACCGGCATGCACCACCACACCCAGCTAATTTTTTTTTATTTTTTAGTAGAGATGGGATTTCGCCGTGTTGGCCACTATGGTCTCCATCTCCTGACCTCGTGATCTGCCAGCCTTGACCTCCCAAAGTGCTGGGATTACAGGTGTGAGCCACCACGCCCGGCTACTGGCTTCTTAAGCTGAGCATAGCATTTCAAAATTTGCTGTTAAAGCTCACATCAGCACTTTGTTAGTTTTTATTGCCAAGAAATATTCTATAGTATAAATACACCATTTTCTTTACTTATCAGTTGATGGCTGTGTGTGTGTGTGTGTGTGTGTGTGTGTGTGTGTGTGTGTTTGCTCTGATGACATAGTGCTGTAAACATTCTTGTGCAAGTTTTTATGACATGTTTTCACTTCCCTGGGATTTATACCTAGTGTGTGAACCAACAGTTCCATTCCAATGTCCATTTAGCCTTTGATGGAACTGCCAGACCATTTTGCTAAGTTGCCACGTCATTTTCTATCTTCAGCAGTTAATGAAGTTTCCAACAACATTTGCTGTTACCTGTCTTCACTATAATCATCCTAATGGCTATAAAGCGGTACCTCTGTGGTTTGGATTTGAATTTTCCCGATCATAATGAATTTTTTTTTTTTTTTGAGATGGAGTCTCACTCTATCACCCAGGCTGGAGTGCAGTGGCACAGTCTAACTCACTGCAACTTCTGTCTCCTAGGTTCAAGTGATTCTCCTGCCTTCCCCTCCCAAGTAGCTGAGACTACAGCTGTGCACCACTACACCCAGCTATATTTTTAATAGAGATGAGGTTTCACCATGTTGGCCAGGATGGTCTCGATCTCTTGATCTTGTGCTACACCTGCTTTGGCCTCCCAAAGTGCTGGGGAGTACAGGCATGGGCCACCACACCCGGCCTGAAATCTTTTCATGTGCTTGTTGGCCATTTCCATGTTTATTCAAAGTTTATTCAAAACTTTTCCCTACTTCTTAAGTATGCTGTCTTACTGAGTCGTAATACATCCTTATATATTCTGGGCACTAGACCCTTAGCAGATAAGATTTGCAAATGTATTCTCTCATTCTGTGACTTGTCTTTTTCACTTTCCTGATAATGTCCTTTGAGGAACAAGAGGCTTTAATTTTTAGGAAGGCCACTTTGTATCTGGTTGCTTGTTCATACTTTGAGTGTCATACTTAAGAAACCACTGCTTAATCCAAGGCTGTGAAAGTTGACACGCTGTTTTCCTTTGAAAGTTTTATATTGGTAGTGCCTACAGTTATGTCTTTGATGCAATCTATATGAATATTCTACCTGCCCCACATTTAGTGCAGAAATTGATGAATGATTCTAAAATGTATACAAAAATTTATTTTTTGCTAAAATAGCAAAAAAAAAAAAAAGTTTTCAAAAAAAACTTGGAGTTAGGTTTTGCAAGGGATATGGAGTGGAAAGCCAACCTCATTGTTCGGTATGTGGCTATTCCAGTGTGCCAGCAACACTGTTGAACACCCTTCTTGGCCAGGTGTGGTGGATCATGTCTGTGATCTCGGTGCTTAGGGAGGCCAAGGTGGGTGGATCACCTGAGATCAGGAGTTCAAGACCAGCCTGTCTAACATGGTGAAACCCCATCTCTATTAAAAATGGAAAAAAAAAATCACGTGTGATGGCAGGTGCCTGTAGTCCCAGCTACTTGGGAGGCTGAGGCAGAATTGCTTGAACCCAGGAGGTGGAGGCTGCAATGAGCCGAGATTGCACCACTGCACTCCAGCCTGGGCGACAGAGCAAGACCCCATCTCAAAAACAAACAAACCCGCTGTTATTTCCTGCTATGTTGATTGCCTTTGCTTTTTATAGAAAGTTTTGAAATAAGAAATGTAAGCTTTACAACTTTTTCTAAGACTTTTTGGCTATTTTGGGGTCCCCTGAATTTTCGTATCAATTTTATGATTTATCAGTTTCTGCACAAAAGGTGGGGCAGGTGGAATATTCACATAGATTGCATTAAAGCCTACAGATGCACCAAAGGCAGATTGCCATGTTGACAATACTAGTTCTAATACAGGAATACAACCTCTCTGTACTTCAGGGATGCCTTTAATTTTTCATTCTTGATTTGTGGTTCAGTATATAAGTCTGGCACTTCATTTATTAAATGCATTCCTAAGTATTTTGTTTTGCTTTGATAAATGGAATTGTTTCCTTAATTTCATCTTGTCTAGTTTATTGCTAATGTATTAAAAATACACAATTGATGTTTTTGTTTGATCTTGTATTCTGCGTTCTTGCTGAACTTTTTATTAGCTGTAATTTTCTGTGGGTTTCTTAGGATTTTCTCAATATACAAGATCATGTCTTCTGCTAAGAGATGAGTTTCTTCCTTTTCCTGTCTCGATGCTGTTAATTTTTCTTAACTGCCCAGGATACAGATTCCAAAACGATGTTGAACAGAAGTTGTGACGATAGGTCTTCTTGTCTTGTTCAGATCATGGGGGTAAAACTGTCTTTCACCTTTACATTTTGTGGGGTTTTTTAAAAAATACATAAATACCTTTTAATGAGTTAAAGAAATTTATCTCTATACCTTACATACCTTCGTCATGAAATAGGTCTGAAGTTTGCCTAACATCTTACCTATTGAGATGTGGGTTTTTCCTCCTTGATTGTATCAGTATTCTGTATATTACACTGATTTTTTTAATGGTTAAAATAATCTTGCGTTTCTGGGATAAATCCCACTTAATTATGATGTATACTTTTTATATATTGCTGGATTCCATTTGCCAGTATTTCCAAGATTTTTACATTCATATTCATAAGTGACATTTATTTTAGCTTCTATAATGATGAGCTGATCTTTTCTGGTGATGCCTTGATTTTTAGAATTAGTAATTTAGAATACAGCAATTACTGTATTAACTGGTTTCATGGAATGAGTTGATGAGTTTTTGTTTTTGTTTTTGTTTTTTTTTTGAAAAGTTTGTGAAGGTTTGGCATTAATCCTGTCTTACCACACTTGGAATTCACCAGTGAAGCCATCTGAATCTGACTTTGTTGTAGGAGGTGTTTTGGTTACTCATTTTCTTTACTTGTAAGTGTATTCATATTTTTCTATTTCTTTGGGAAGAACTTTTAGTCATCTGAGTGTTTCTAAGAATTTGCCCAGGTTCATCCAGGTTATCTGTGTTGACACAAAATTGTTCATAGTGCTCCCCTAAAATTTTAATTTTTTAAATTAATTAATTAATTTACTTATTTTTTGAGATGTAGTCTCGTTCTGTCACCCAGGCTGGAGTGCAGTGACATGATCTCGGCTCAGTGCAACCTCCACCTCCCGGATTTAGGTGATTCTCCTGCCTCAGCTTCCTGAGTCGCTGGGACTGCAGGCACCATGCCTGGCCAATTTTTATATTTTCAGTAGAGATGGGGTTTCACCATACTGACCAGGCTGGTCTTGAACTCTTGACCTTCTGACCTGCCCGCCTTAGCCTCCGAAAGTGCTGGGATTACAGGCATGAGCCACTACTCCCGGCCAAAATCCTTTTCGTTCCTTTAAGGTTATTGGTTGTGACTCCTTCATTCCCGACTCCAGTAATTTTAGCCATCTCCTTTTTTATTCTTGTCCAGTCTGGCTAAAGATTTGTCAATTATGTTCTTCTCAAAGAACACACTGCTAAGTTTGTGCTCTCTATTGTATTTCCATTCTGTATTTTGTTTACTTCTGTTCTGTATTCCCTTCCTCTGCCTGTTTCAGGGTTTGCTGTTTCTTTCCTACTTGAAGGTAGGAAGTTAGGTTATATTTCATATCTTTCCTTCCTAGGCATTTAGAGCTATAAGTTTTCCTTTATGCTAGCTACATGTCGTAAATATTGCTGTGTTTGTTTCTATTCTTTTCAAAGTATTTAATTCCCTTTTGTTTCCTCTTTGACCTATTGAGGATGGTGTTGCTTCACTTCCATATATTTGGAAATTTTCAAATTTTCTTACTGATTTCTAATCTCCTGTCAGTGGGATGAGAGAGCATACTTGGTATAATTTCAATGCACATCAACTTGAAACATGTTTCATGCCTAATACATCTGTCTTGGAGAAGGTCTGCCTGCAGTTGAGAAGGGCGTGTTTTCTGCTGTTGAGTGGAGTTTTCTCTTGATACCTGCCTCCACTGTTTTCCATGCCAGTAAACATCACTATACTCCTGGTCATTCATATCAAAAGCTTAGTTATTTTTTCCTGGTTTGTTTTTGAGATGTCTCACTGTCTCCCAGACTGGAGTGTAGTGGCGCAATCTCAGCTCACAGCAACCTCCACCTCTCAGGTTTAAGTGATTCTCATGCCTCAGCCTCCTGAGTAGCTGTATTTATTAATATCTTTTTCTCCACCTTATGTCCAGCAAATCAGAAAATCATATGGTCTCTGCCTGTAATATGACCAATTTTTACACAATTCTTCCCATCTGCCGCATTTAAATGCATTCATTTGCATCTCAGACACAATCCACTTTACTTAAAATCCATTTTCAGACAATAACCAAGGTGATGCAAAACTTCACATCTGTAACTTTGCTCCCACACGTAAAAATCCTTAAGCGGTTTTTATTCTATTTGTCATAAAAATCTATAATTTTTCTGATTTACAAGACAAAGACCACCCTAATGATTATTCTTTAAAATGGCACATCTATTCCCATGCATCCTAAGATGAATTCGTATTTACCTTCTACATGGTAACTATTTCCTGATTTGCATCATGGTTATTCTTAGTGGTAGCTGTTGTGTGCCAGAGGCTGTGTTCTAACTCTACCAAATCATCTCCATGGCCACTCGGCAACATAGGAACCATTTCTTTGCTTTTCCAGATGAACAGAAACGTGTAACTTCAGTAATTTGATCAACATCTTACAAGTAGCATATGATAAGTCCCATTTGAAAGCACTGTCTGACTCAAGATCCTTAATTCTATTTTTTTTTTAAGAGAAAGAGTTGGGCTTTATTGCTGAGGCTGCAATGCAGTGGCTATCCTCAGGCACGATCATAGCACACTACAACTTCCAGCTGCTGGGCACAAGTGATCCTCCTGCCTCAGCCTCCCAAGCAGCTGGGACTACAGGCATGTACTTTAACACCTGGCTCTAAGATCCTTAATTCTTTACTGTAGGTTTTATCCCTCATTTAATTTTCTTATTTTTATTTCTGAGACAGAGTCTCACTCTGTCACCCAGGCTGGAGTGCAGTGGCATGGTCTGAGCTCACTGTAACCTCCACTTTCCGGGTTCAAGTGATTCTCTTGCCTCAGCCTCCTGGGTAGCTGGGATTACTGGCATATGCCACCACACCAGGCTAATTTTGTAATTTTTTAGTTGAGATGGAGTTTCACCATTTTGGCCAGGCTGGTCTTGAACTCCTGACCTCAAGTGATCCGCCTGCCTCAGCCTCCCAAAGTGCTGCAATTACAGGTGTGAGCCACCACACCCAGCCTACCCCTCATTTTAATAGCTTGTGTGAGGCTCTCCAAGGAGAAATGAGCCTGGAACCCACACCCTCAGTCTTTGAATCAGCGCTTACTGTATTAATGCACTCTGTCCTCCAGCTAAACCGGTGGCTGCCATGCTTTAAACTGCCCCAGAAATTAAATACCACATGACTCAGCTTATCTTGGGAGTGTCTGACACATCTGATTTGAACACTAAACACAGTATGTTGGAATTGATTCTTGTTTTGCAGAAATCTCACAAGCTATAGACCAAGGTGCCACAGCAGCAGAGACAGGAAAACAAGGTGAGGAAAATACATTTATTCCTTCCTCATCCTCCTGGAAGAAAGTTGGGTGAAAAAAAAGTGTATGTGGTTTAGATTGCAGGGGAGTCCACTCTGCCTTTTTTGATTTAAGGGTTTTTTTTCATTATACTTTAAGTTCTGGGGTACATGTGCAGAACGTGCAGGTTTTTTACATAGGTATACATGTGCCACGGTGGTTTGCTGCATCCATCATCCTGTCATCTACATTAGGTATTTCTCCTAATGCTATCCCACCCCTATTTACCCACCCCCTCTCATCCCTCCCCTTCCTCCCCACCCCTCAACAGGCCCTGGTGTGTGATGTTCCCCTCCCTGTGTCCATGTGTTCTCATTGTCCAACACCCACTTATGAGTGAGAACATGCGAACTGTGGTTTTTTGTTTTTGTGCCTTTCTTCGTTCTCATTTTCCTCTCGTGTCAATTCCTTCCCCACAAGTTCTTGGTCAGTACCATGGATAGAGCTATGCATGAAAGAACCCTTTTTTTTTTTTTTTTTTTTTTTTTTGGAGACGGAGTGTCGCTCTTGTTACCCAGGCTGGAGTGCAGCAGCGCGATCTCGGCTCACTGCAACCTCCGCCTCCTGGGATCAGGCAATTCTCCTGCCTCAGCCTCCTGAGTAGCTGGGATTACAGACACGCGCCACCATGCCCAGCTAATTTTTTGTATTTTTAGTAGAGACGGGGTTTCACCATGTTGACCAGGATGGTCTCGATCTCTTGACCTCATGATCCACCCACCTCGGCCTCCCAAAGTGCTGGGATTACAGGCGTGAGCCACCGCACCCGGCCGAAAGAACCCATAATTCTAACAGACGCAAATCAATCACAACTTTATTTCACAGATGCTAAACATGTAGCCAAGAGTAGTCAAGTGCTCTTTAAACTGAAGTGGTAGTCATTATTTTCTTAATCCCTTCTATCAACTAATATGGAACAAATTCCTATTGTTGCAGAAATTTCACAACCTACGGAACAAGAAGGTGCCACGGCAGCAGAGACAGAAGAACGAGGTGAGGAAAATGGATGTGTTCCTTTGTGATGGAATTGTGATGAAATTGCAGTGGTGAAAAAAGCATGTCTGGCTGGTCTCTAACTCCTGCCTTGTGATCCACCTGACCTTTTGATCCACTTGCTGGGATTACAGGTGTGAGCCACCACACCCAGCAGTACCAGCAAACTTAAGGTCCCAGGATATGAATCTCTTTCATGTTCACTGAGTGCCTAGTGGACATCAGACACTGAAGAGGCTAGAAGTATTGAGGCAAAAAGACAAGTTATTCTTCCCATGGAGCTTACATTGTAAGCTAGGGGCTAACAAAAAGTAAATGTGTAAAAGAATTGCATTTTGTGATAAATGTCAGGTGGTATGAAATAATGACGGTTTGTGATAAGTTTCATTTTCTCACATTTGTTAGGCCCTGTGCTAATGTTGAATGTGTATTCTTAAATCTTTATCAGGTGGGCCGGGTGTTGTGGCTCGCTCCTGTAATCCCAACACTTTGGGAGGCAGAGGTGGGCAGATCACTTGAGGTCAGGAGTTCAAGACCAGCCTGTCCAACATGGTGAAACCCTGTCTCTACTAAAAAAACATTAAAATATTAGCTGGGCATGGTGCCAGGCACCTGTAATCCTGCTACTCGGGAGGCTGAGGCTGGAGAATTGCTTGAACCTGGGAGGTGGAGGTTTCAGTGAGCCAAGGTCATGCCACTGCACTCCAGCCTGGGTGAAACTGTTCCAAAAAAAAAATTTATCAGGTGGGAAAACTGAGCAACAGCTTGTATGAAATCACAGATGCTCTCCAGCAGGGATGGGCTGGTGCGGTGGCCTGTTAGGAACTGGGCTGTACCGCAGGAGGGGTCAACACTTCATCCGTATTTACAGCTGCTCCCCATTGCTCACATGACCACCTGAGCCCCGCCTCCTGCTAGATCAGAGCAGGTGCTGGATTCTCACAGGAGCATGAGCCCTCGTAGGAACTATCCGTGTGAGGGGCCTAGGTTGCCTGGTCCTCATGAGACTCCAGTGCCTGAGGATCCATCACTGTCTTCCATCACCCCAAGATAGGACTGTCTAGTTGTGGGAAAGCCAGCTCAGGGCCCCCACTGATTGTACATGATAGCGAGTTACATAGTTACTTCATTATCTATTACAATGTAATAACAGTCAAGTGCACAAAAACTGGAATGTGCTTAAACCTCCCCAAACCATCCCCTTCCACCCTCGTCTGTGGAAACGCTGTCTTCCACAAAACCGGTTCCGGGCGCCAGAAAGGTTGGGGACCACTGCTCTACAGAGCTTGGGTTCCAGGCAGGATGTGTCTCAAGGATGCACTCCCCGTCTTATGTAGAGAAGAATCCCCCAGTGCTTGGGGAAACCCAGGGATGGAACAGGAGAGGCACCCCTGTCCAACAGGTGCAGAACTTGGGGCGATGGTATAAGCATCCTCAGCGGCCCGCAGCCTGCCCCTCCCTCCCTCCCTCCCTGCCTCCCTGCCCCTCTCCCTCCGTGCCTCTCTCCCTACCTCCCTGCCCCTTTCCCGCCCCCCGTCCCTCCGTCCCTGCCCCGTCCCTCCGTCCCTGCCCCGTCCCTCCGTCCCTGCCCCGTCCGTCCGTCCCTGCCCCGTCCGTCCGTCCCTGCCCCGTCCGTCCGTCCCTGCCCCGTCCGTCCGTCCCTGCCCCGTCCCTCCGTCCCTGCCCCGTCCCTCCGTCCCTGCCCCGTCCCTCCGTCCCTGCCCCGTCCCTCCGTCCCTGCCCCGTCCCTCCGTCCCTGCCCCGTCCCTCCGTCCCTGCCTCTTTCCCTCCCTCCCTGCCTCTTTCCCTCCCTCCCTGCCTCTTTCCCTCCCTCCCTGCCTCTTTCCCTCCCTCCCTGCCTCTTTCCCTCCCTCCCTGCCTCTTTCCCTCCCTCCCTGCCTGCCTCCCTCCCTCCCCCTGAGATTACATATGTTGACATAAATAATTCATTTAACCCATACTTGAGTTCCAGAGTGCCAGGCACTGTCATCAATACTGAAGATCCAAGAGTGAGTAAGAAAGTCCATTCTTAGAGTCTACTGGGGGAAACCATCAGCAAATAAAATGTAACCCATCACGTCCCCAGTTGGAAAAAGAGAACTCGGGGAAGGAGAGCTATTTCCTGGAATGTTAAGAATCTTTAGAGGCCTTTGAAGAAGGGAATGAAGACGGAGCTTGTTCTCAGCCCATTGCTAGGAAGAAACCAGACACACGTCTGGGGGCAGAGTCTAGCCCCACTCATGCTGGGTCCAGGGTTTCTGTGACGGTGTATTTTACTGAAATTCAGACTGGATTCAAATTTTGTTCCCTGATTTTTTTGTTTGTTTGTTTTTTGTTTTTTGTTTTTTGAGATGAAGTCTTGCTCTGTTGCCCAGGCTGGAGTGCAGTGGTGTGATCTCGGCTCACTACAACCTCTGTCTCCCTGGTTCAAGTGATTGTCCTGCCTCAGCCTCCCAAATAGCTGGAATTACAGGTGCCTACTACCATGCCTGACTAATTTTTGTATTTTTTAGTAAAAATAAGGTTTTGCCATGTTGGCCAGACTGGTCTTGAACTCCTGACCTCTGGTAAGTCACTCACCTTGACCTCCCAAAGCGCTGGAATTGTAGGCATGAGCCACCGTGCCTGGTCTGTTGCCTGATTCTTATTCTGCCCTCTCTGACTTCAGGCCCCAGAGGTGACACATGGGACTACAAGTGTCACATGATGACGAAATTCACTGCGAAGGAGGATGTGCCCTGTGGTTTTGAAAAACCTGCTGCTGACTGGCTGGAAATGCAAATGCTGGTTGGTGCCTTCGGTGCAGACCAGTGGGGCTTCCGGCCCCACACGGTGGTTCTGCATGGGAAGTCGGGAATTGGAAAATCGGCTCTGGCCAGGAGGATCGCGCTGTCCTGGGCGGAAGGTCGACTCTTCCAGAATCTGTTCTCCTACGTCTTCTTCCTTCCCGTTAGAGAGGTGCAGCGGAGGAAGGAGGCCAGCCTCGCAGAGCTCATCTCCAGGGAGTGGCCAGACTCCCAGGTTCCTGTGACGGAGATCATGTCCCAGCCGGAAAGGCTGCTGTTCATCCTTGATGGTTTTGACGACCTGGGCTCCGACGTCCACAGTGACACGAAGCTCTGCAAAGCCTGGGCTGAGAGGCAGCCCACGGGCACCCTCATACACAGTCTGCTGAGGAAAGTCCTGCTCCCCGAGTCCTTCCTGATCGTCACCGTCCGAGACGTGGGTGTTGAGAGGCTCAAGTCGCAGGTGGTGTCCCCCCGTTACCTGCTTGTGAGAGGAATCTCCGCAGAAAGAAGAATCCACCTGCTCCTGGAGCACAGGACCGGGGAGCATCGGAAGGCACAGGTGGTACGTGCCATGATGAGCGACCGTGGGCTGTTCGACCAGTGCGAGGTGCCCGCCGTGGGCACGCTGGTCAGTGTGGCTCTGCAGCTGCAGGACATGGAGGGGGAGGGTGGCCTCACCCTCACCAGCTTGTATGCCACCTTCGTGTTCCATCAGCTCACCCCTCGAGACGTGGCCCAGCGCTGTCTTGACCCGGAAGAAAGGGCCGTCCTGAAGCGCCTGTGCCGCGTGGCTGTGGAAGGAGTGTGGAATATGAAATCCGTGTTTGACAGCGACGACCTCTTGATGCACGGTCTCGGGGAGTCTGAGCTCCGTGCTCTGTTGGGCATGGACATCCTTCTCCGGGATGGCCGCTGTGAGGAGGAGCACTTCACATTTCTCCACCTCAGCCTCCAGGACTTCTGTGCGGCCCTGTACTACGTGTTAGAGGGGCTGGACGTCGAGCCAGCGCCCTGTCCGCTGTTCATGGAGAAAGGGAAGAGGTCGGTGGAGCTGAAACAGGTGGGCTTCCACAGCCACCTGCTACGGATGAAGCGTTTCTTGTTCGGCCTGATGAATGAAAACGTGAGGAGGCCGCTGGAGGTCCTGCTGGGCTGCCCCATGCCCCTGGGGGTGAAGCAGAAGCTTCTGCACTGGGTGTCTCTGTTGGGTCAGCAGACCAAGGCCACCACCCCAGCTGACACCCTGAATGCCTTCCACTGCCTTTTCGAGACTCAAGACCAAGAGTTTGTTCGCTCGGCGTTAAACGGCTTTCAGGAAGTGTGGCTTCCGATCTGCCAGAACATAGACTTGACGGCGTCTTCCTTCTGTCTCCAGCACTGTCTGAATCTGCGGAAAATTCGGGTGGATGTCAAGGGGGTCTTCCTAAGGGACGAGTCGGCTGAGGCATGGCCTGTGGTTCCTCAATGGTAAGTGCCCTGGGCAGTTTTATTCTACGCCATCTACCAGGCTCTGTGTCCCTGCTGCTGGGACTTAATAGTTCCAGGGATTTGAAGATCTCAGGTAATTGATTGAGGATGAATCGCCCAGATGACGTCCAGTCGGCTAAAAGGCCAGGGCCTAATCTGGCTCATTGTCCATACCTGGGAAAGGTCTTTGAAAATACAGGGCCCCACCCACAATTCTAAAGGCAAGGCTGTGGGATTGAAACCCAGGAATATGTGGTTTCTTTTATTTTTAAATTTTAGTTTATTTTGAAACATAGTCTTGTTCTGTCACCCAGGCTGCTGTGCAGTGGTGCAATCTAAGTTCACTGTGACTTCCACCTCCCGGGTTCAAGCGATTCTCCTGTCTCAGCCTCCTGAATAGCTGGGGGATTACAGGTGTGCACCACCATGCCCAGCTAATTTTTGTGTTTTTAGTAGAGATGAGGTTTCACCATTTGGCCAGGCTGGTCTCGAACTCCTGACCTTGTGATCTGCCCGCCTCTGCCTCCCACAGTGCTGGGATTACAGGCGTGAGCAAGCTCCTGCTATCAGTGTTGTCGCTCAGGTCTGTGTATTGCTGCTTTGGTATAGGGTCCAGGGCCGTGCCGTCCAATAGTGTTCTGTGATGAAAATACTCCATGTGCCTTTTCCAGTAGGGCAGCCACCAGTCTCATAAGCCTGTGCAGCATCTGAAATGTAGTGAGACTGTGGAGGTGAAACTCATCTTAATTCTATTACAACTCATTTTTGTGTGTTTCGTGTGTTGTTTTTTGTTTTGTCTTGCTTTGTTTTGTTCTTGAGAGAGACGGGCTCACTCTACTGACCAGGCTACAGTGCAGTGGAATTAGCTCAGCTCACTGCAGACTCTGCCTCCTGCATTGAAGCAATTCTCATGCCTCCATTTCACAAGTAGCTGGGATTACAGGTGCCCCCTTCCCCAGCCATACTTGGCTAATTTTTGGTAGAGACAGGGTTTCATCATCTTGACCAGGTTGGTCTCTAACTCTGACCTCTTGATCCACTTGCCTCAGCCTCCCAAAGTGCTGGGTTTACAGGCATGAGCCACTGGGACTGGCTTTAAGTTTTTTTGAGACTGCCTACGTCACCCAGGCTGGAGTACAGTGATATAAGCTCAGTTCACTGCAACCTCACCTCCCAGGTTCAAGTGAGTCTCCTGACTCAGCCTCCTGAGGAGCTGGGATTACGGACGCTCACCACCACACCTGGCTAATTTTTGTATTTTTAGTAGGGACAGGGTTTCACCATGTTGACTAGGCTGATCTCGAACTCCTGATCTCAAATGATCTGCCCGCCTTAGCCTCCCAAAGTGCTGGGATTACAGGTGTGAGCCACTATGCCCGGCCTCATTTATGTTGAATCACACATAGCTGATGCTCTCTGAACAGTGCAGGTCTAGAAAACACTTTGCTGGACTGTCTTAGCACCCATCCTCCCGTGACCCAGAACACAGCAGTGAAGAAAGGGCACAGGCTGGGTATGGTGGCTCAGGCCTATAATCCCAGCACTTTGGGAGGCAGAGAGAAGAGGGTTGCTTGAGGCCAGGTGTTTTTTTTGGTTGGTGTTTGGTTTTTTTTGTTTTGTTTTGTTTTGTTTTTGGCATTTTAGGTTTTGGGGTACATGTGAAGAACATGCAGGATTGTTGCATAGGTACACACGTGGCAGTGTGGTTTGCTGCCTTCCTTCCCCTCACCTGTATCTGTCATTTCTCCCCATGCTATCTCTTCCCACCTCCCCACCCCCTGTCCCTCCCCCATTTCCCCCCAACGGACCCCTGTGTAGTGCTCCCCTCCCTGTGTCCATGTGTTCTCATTGTTCAACACCCGCCTATGAGTGAGAACATGCAGTGTTTGATTTTCTGCTCTTGTGTCAGTTTGCTGAGAATGATGGTTTACAGGTTCATCGATGTCCCTACAAAGGACGCGAACTCATCATTTTGATGGCTGCATAATATTCCATGGCGTATATGTACCACATTTTCCCTGTCCAGTCTATCATCGATGGGCATTTGGGTTGGTTCCAGGTCTTTGCTATTGTAAACAGTGCTGCAATGAACATTCGTGTGCATGTGTCCTTATAGTAGCAAACAAGCCCATTCAAAAATGGGCTAAGGATATGAACAGACACTTTACAAAAGAAGACATACAGGAGGCCAACAAACATATGAAAAAATGCTCATCGTCACTGGTCATTAGAGAAATGCAAATCAAAACCACATTGAGATACTACCTCACACCAGTTAGAATGGCGATCATTAGAAAATCTGGAGACAACAGATGCTGGAGAGGATGTGGAGAAATAGGAACACTTTTACACTGTTGGTGGGAATGTAAATTCAACCATTGTGGAAGACAGTGTGGCGATTCCTCAATGACCTAAAAATAGAAATCCCATTTGACCCAACAATCCCATCCTGGGTATATATCCAAAGGATTATAAATCATTCTACTATAAGGACACATGCACACGAGGCCAGGTGTTTTAGACTAGCAACAAAGTAAGACCCTGTCTCTACGAGAACTCTTAAAAGTAGCCTGTATGGAGGTGTGTGCCTGTGGCCCCAGCTACTCAGGAGGCTGAGGTGGAAGGATCATTTGAGCCCAGGAGCTGAGGGCTGCAGTGAGTTACGATCAAGCCACTTCATTCCAGCTTGGGTGACAGGGTGAGATCCTATCCCTAAAAAAATAATAATAAAAATAAGAATCTGGACATTCCCTGGTGGTCTCGTTGTTAGGGAATTTTTAAAAATAAAAATAAATAAATGGCCAGGCACAGCAGCTTATGCCTATAATCCGAGCTCTTTGGGAGGCCAAGGCAGGTGGATCTCAGGATCCAGAGATCGAGACCATCCTGGCCAACATGGTGAAACCCTGTCTCTACTAAAAATACCAGAATTAGTCAGGTGTGGTGGTAGGTGCCTGTAACCCCAGCTACTCAGGAGGCTGAGACAGAAGAATCACTTGAACTGGGGAGTCAGAGGTGGCAGTGAGCAGTGATGGTGCCATTCCACTCCAGCCTGGCAATAGAGCAAGACTGTCTCAAGAAAAAAAAAAAAAAAAGGTGGGGGGTAGTGGTGACCATTGCCACCCATCTGCTAATTCCTAAATCCCAGGCCTGCTACTTCCTGGCAGTGTGACCTTGGGCAAGTTACTCTGCTGCTCTGTGCCTCGGTTTCCCCATCTGTAAAACAGGTCATGGCGTCTGCCTATCCAGTTGCTAGGAGACAGGTTTTACAGCTGCAGCTCTCAGGAACTGTGCCTAGCACTTAGGTGACAGATGTCAGCTAATGATACTACCAGAGCTAAACTGACTGCTGGCATACATGGAACCCTGGGTGAACCTGGTTCTGAATTTCAGCCTTGCCACAAAGTAGCCCTGTTGCCATTCACAAGAGAGGGGAAATAGCATCAACCTCACGGGTTTCAAACGGCATCAAATTCTCAAGTGGGGCTGGGCGTGGCGGCGCACACCTCTAATCTCTGCACTTTGGGAGGTGGAGGCGGGTGGATCACTTGAGGTCAGGAGTCAGAGACCAGCCTGGCCAGCAAAGTGAAACCTCATCTCTGCTTTAAAAATAATAATAATAATAATAATTTTTATTTGGTTGTAGTGGTACATGCCTGTATTCCCAGCTTCTTGGGAGGCTGAGGCAGGAGAATTGCTGGAACCCAAGAGGCAGAAGTTGCAATGAGCTGAGATGGCGCCACTGCACTCCAGCCTGGGTGACAGAACCAGACTCCATCTTTAAAAAAAAAAAAAAAAAAAAAAAAAAAAATTCTTGACCGTGTACAGTGGCTCATGCCTTGTAATCCCAGCACTTTGGGAGGCTGAGGCGGGCAGATCACTTGAGGTCAGGAGTTCGAGACCAGCTTGGTCAACGTGGTGAAACCCTATCTGTACTAAAAATATAAAAGTTAGCCAGAGGGGGTGGCGCATGCCTGTGATCCCAGCTACTGGGGCGGCCGAAGCCAGAAAATCACTTCAACTTGGGAGTTGTAGGTTGCAGAGTGGAGATGACTCCACCGTTGTCCAGCCTGGGCATCAGAGACTCCGTGTCCCAAAGAGGGGAAAAAAAAAAAAAGGTAGAATCATGACGTCTTTGTCCTTCTGTGGCTGGTATGTCACCTAACATACACTCCAGGTTCATCCATGGTGTCGAAAACGGGAGAATGTTCTTGTTTAAGGGTGTGTAACATTCCGTTTCCGTATGTATCACGTGTTCTCCCTTTTCATCCACTAGTGGACATGTAAGTTCCACATCTGAGCTATGATGAATAATGGCATAGTGAACGTGGGAGACCACACACCTCTTCCCTGTTCTGGGTGTATAAGCCCAGAAGTGGGATTGCTCAGCCCTACGGGAGCTCTATTAATATTTTTAGGAACCTCTGTAATGTTTTCCAAGCTGTTGAACTATTTAATGTTCAGGTGGGAACTAGAATTGAAGCGATGATCTGATTGAGGAGCTAACAGCTCCTAGTCATGCTTGCAATACCCTCTTGGGTACCGATACGTCCAGGAGAAGGCAGGGTGGACACAGGGGCCATCATCTGCTAAGTTGCTTCAAAGCCTTGGAAGCCACCCCGATCTTTCCTTGATAGGTCAGTTCCTCTCCTGCGACACGTTGCCACGATTGCTCACGTTAAACCCCATCCTGCCAGAGATTCCATTTCTATTCCTCTCTGACATAGGATGCAGGGTAAGACCCTCATTGATGAGCAGTGGGAGAATTTCTGCTCCGTGCTTGGCACCCATCCTCACCTGCAGCAGCTGGACCTGGGCAGCAGCGTCCTGACCGAACGGGCCTTGAAGACCTTGTGTGCCAAGCTGAGGCCTCCCGCCTGCCAGATACAGAAGCTGAGGTAAGGGTGCCCCACCCCCTGGGAGAGATTCCCTTCCGGTGATGCTGCCCGGCTTTCCCCCAGCTCCTGAGCGAAGGCCCATCAGAAACACCTCAGGTGCATCCCGAGGCATAAGTGCCATGAAAGGTGTGGGAACCAAGTTGCCAAAAGCACAGAGACCTCGGGATGATGTTACTGAAGCAGGTTCCTTGATGCTGGCTTTGGAAGCATCAAGCTCCCTGGCACAGGGATCATGAATACTGTTTAGTACGCTGTTCCCAGTAGCTGGCCAGTCTCAGGTACTCCAGCATTTGTGGCTTTAAAATGAAATACAATTACTTAGAAATCTGCAAGTTAGAATGGGAGAAGGGGCTGGGCGTGGTGGCTCCCCCCTGTCATCCCAGCATGTCGGGAGGCGGAAGCAGGTGGATCATGAGGTCAAGCAGGTGGATCATGAGGTCCCGGCACTTTGGGAGGCCAAGGCAGGCAGATCACTTAAGGTCAAGAGCTTGAGACCAGCTTGGCCAACATGGTGAAATCCCATCTTTACGAAAAAATACAAAAATTAGCTGGGTGTGGTGGCGGGTGCCTGTAATCCCAGCTACTCAGGAAGGTGAGGCAGGAGAATCACTTGAACCTGGGAGGCGGAGGTTGCAGTGAGCCAAGATCATACCACTGCACTCCAGCCTAAGCAGTAAAGTGAGACTTCCTCTCAAAGAAACGGGAGAAGGATGAGAAGAAAACTGAGGATACAACTAAATGTCACCAGTGTCTAATGTACCTCCCTTTCCCCATCTCCTACAGGTTGAGAAACACACAGATGACCCCTGGTCTGCAGCACCTCTGGAGAACCCTCATCGCCAACCGTAACCTAAGATCCCTCAGCTTGGGAAGTGCCCACCTGAAGGAAGAGGATGTCAGGATGGCGTGTGAAGCCTTAAAACACCCCAGATGTATGTTGGAGTCTTTGAGGTACGTTTTTGGCAGGGATTTTGCCTTTTATTTCTTCGTGTTTACTTGTTGAAATGACAGAAAATGGCACCAATTTAAGAGTTGTAAAGATAAAAAACTTCTAATAATGCACGGTGGTGATGGTGGTGGTTGAAGGGATTTTTAGTGCCACTGAATTGTACAACTAAATAGTTAAAATAGTCCACTTTAGGTTGTAAATATTTTATCACAATAAAAAAGCTCAAAGTTGGCCGGGCGCGGTGGCTCAAGCCTGTAATCCCAGCACTTTGGGAGGCCGAGGCGGGCGGATCACGAGGTCAAGAGATCGAGACCATCCTGGTCAACATGGTGAAACCCCGTCTCTACTAAAAATACAAAACATTAGCTGGGCATGGTGGCGCCTGCCTGTAATCCCAGCTACTCAGTATGCTGAGGCAGGAGAATTGCTTGAATCCAGGAGGCGGAGGTTGGGGTGAGCCGAGATCGCGCCATTGCACTCCAGCCTGGGTAACAAGAGCGAAACTCCGTCTCAAAAAAAAAAAAAAAAAAAAAAAAAAAAAAAAAAAAAAAAGCTCAAAGTTTCACAGTTTTTCCTTTTTGGAGACAGAGTCTCACTCTGTTGCCCAGGCTGGAGCACAGTGGCACAATCTCGGCTCACTGCAACCTCCGCCTCCCAGGTTCAGGCGATCCTCCTGCCTTAGCCTCCAGAGTAGCTGGGATTACAGGCACCCACCACCATGCCCAGCTAATTTTTTGTATTTTTTAGTAGAAATGGGGTTTTTCCGTGTTGACCAGGCTGGTCTCAAACCCCTGACCTCATGATCCATCTGCCTTGGCCTCCCAAAGTGCTGGGATTGCAGGCGTGAGCCACTGAGCTCGGCCCATAAAAATGTTTTTATGCAGAGGCAAGGTATCACTTGGTTGCCCAGTCTGGTCTTGAACTCCTGGACTCAGGTGATCCTCCCACCTCTGCCTCCCAGAGCACTGGGATTATAGGGGTGAGCCACCATACCTGGTGAGATTTTAATTGTATCATGATCAAATGTGCCCTTCTGGGCCTGGCGTGGTGGCTCATGCCTCTAATCCCAGCACTTTGGGAGGCTAAGGCAGGCAGATTACCTGAGGTCAGGAGTTCAAGACCAGCCTGGCCAAGCTGGTGAAACCCCATGTCTGCTAAAAAGACAAAAATTGGCCAGGTGTGGTAGGCACCTGTAATTTCAGCTACTTGGGAGGCTGAGGCTGGGGCATTGTTTGAACCCAGGAGGCAGAGGTTGCAGTGAGCCGAGACTGCGTAACTGCACTCCAGCCTGGGCCACCGAGCAAAACTCTGTCTCAAAAAAAGAGCTGCTCTGTTCATCTCTGCGCCAGCCAGGCACTGGTCTAAGTGTTGCGTGGCTATTGTAATACTGTGATCCTCACAACCACCGCTGAGATTGGTAGTGCTGTCTTCCTCGTTTCCAGGGGGTAAACTGAGTCACGGAGCTGCCAAACTACTTGCTTAATAGGAAATTAAGTGATGTGTTGGACTTGGGTGGACGTGGTGGCTCGTGGGGCAGCTGTGCATTCATCTTTTGTAAATACTGCTGGTCATCGCGGAAGCTCGTGCATTTCAGCAAATGCTGGAGTGCCCACTGTGTACCAGGCACCGTTGCAGCTCCTGAGGGCAACTAGGGAACAAAGCAACCAGGCCTCTGCCTTCATGGAGATGACATTCTGGGAAGGAAGACAGGCAGGAAACCAGCACTCACATAGTATGTGAAATGTTGCCTGGAGGCCGGTCACAGGGGCTCACGCCTGTAATCCCAGCCCTCCGGGATGCTGAGGCAGGCAGATCACCTGAGGTCAGGAGTTGGAGACCAGCCTGGCCAACATGGTGAAACCCTGTTTCTACTAACAATACAAAAAGTAGCTGGGCCCAGTGGCTCACGCCTGTCATCCCAGCACTTTGGGAGGCCTAGGTGGGTGGATCACCGAGGTCAGGAGTTCGAGACCAGCCTGGTCAACGTGGTGAAATCCCATCTCTACTAAAACTGCAGGACAGTAGCCGGGCGTGGTAGCGGGTGCCTGTAATCCCAGGTACTCAGGAGGCTGAGTCAGGGCAATGGCTCGAACACGGGAGGCGGAGGTTGCAGTGAGCTGAGACCGCATCACTGCACTCCAGCCTGGGTGACAGCAAGACCCTGTCTCAAAAAATAAAAATGTTGGCTTGGGCGCGGTGGCTCACACCTGTAATCCCAGCACTTTGGGAGGCCGAGGCGGGTGGATCACAAGGTCGAGAGATCGAGACCATCCTGGTCAACATGGTGAAGCCCCGTCTCTACTAAAAATACAAAAAATGAGCTGGGCATGGTGGCGCGTGCCTGTAATCCCAGCTACTCAGGAGGCTGAGGCAGGAGAATTGCCTGAACCCAGGAGGCGGAGGTTGGGGTGAGCCGAGATCGTGCCATTGCACTCCAGCCTGGGTAACAAGAGCGAAACTCCGTCTCAAAAAAATAAAAATAAAAATATTGGCTCGGGTGCATTGCTGTGAATGTTGAATACAGGAGAAGAGCGGAGGCAGGTGGGGTAGTTGAAGGTCTGCCTTAGCTGAAAGGCGACCTTTAACTGAAAGGCAACCTTCAAAAGGCACGAACCCCATGAAGACCTGAGGAAGCGGGGAAGGGGAAATGTTGAAATGGAAGGAGCAGCAACTTCTCAGACCTGAGAGGAGCAGGCAGAGTCCCAGGGCCAGGAGGAGGGCCGGCAGGGCTGGCGTGTGCCAAGTGGAGGGGAAATGGGCTGCTGTGGGTGAGGGCTGCGGCTGCCTCATGCTGCTGTTCTCTGCAGGCTGGATTGCTGTGGACTGACCCTTGCCTGTTACCTGAAGATCTCGAAGATCCTGACCACCTCCCGCAGCCTGAGCTCCCTGAGCCTGGCAGGAAATGAGGTGACAGACGAGGGAGTGAAGGCTCTCGGTGAGGTCTTGAAGGTCTCCCAGTGCACCCTGCAGAAGCTGACGTGAGTGCCACCTCCTTTCCACCAGGATCACCTTCCCTTGGGTTCTCCAGGTCACGGTGGGAGGGGAATGAGCAGGTGCACAAGGCAGGGGTGAGGAGGGAAGGTGGGACCTCCCGGGACTGCCCCAGTGTCGGGGTGTGAGAATAGCCTGATAACGCAACTGTCCTTGCCACGAAACTCCAAATGGATATCAGAGGTGGGAGCTGGCATCGGCCAGGTGGAAACTACACAGTGACCTTCCCTCCTGCCAACGCTGTCTTGGGCGTGAGGCTCACGTGCGCAGCTTACGCAGCGGGTTGGTGAATGCTTGGCCTCACAACTGAAGTCCGCTCAGTCACTCGAAGAGCGTGGGTGGGGGTCAGGCTCCCCTCTGCCTCGTGCAGTCCAGGCCGGAGCTTGTGCCTTCTGGGCTTCTGGGCACAGAGAGGCTCAAAGGAGGAAAAGGGTCTGAGCAGAGGGTCACGCAAATTCCCAGTCCTCCCCTCCCTGCGGAGATGAGGGCGCCGAGAGCAGGGACAAACCCTGTGTGTGTCGCTCTAGAACAGCTGCCTCCAAGCAGAAACACGCAGGGTGGCAGCTCTATACCCCACCATCTCATGGTCCAAAGGATACCACTTTTTTTCTTTTTTTTTTTTTTTTTTTTGAGAAGCAGTCCTACTGTTACCCAGGCTGGAGTGCAGTGACGTGATCTTGGCTCATCACAACCTCTGCCTTCTGGGTTCAAGCAACCCTCCTGCCTCAGCCTCCGAGTACCTGGAACTGTACCCGCCACCACACCCAGCTAACTTCTTTATTTTTAGTAGAGACGGGGTTTCGCCGTGTCGGCCAGGATGGTCTCGATCTCTTGACCTCATGATCCGCCGCCTCGGCCTCCCAAAGTTCTGGGATTACAGGTGTGAGCCGCCACATCCAGCCTGTGTTTTTATTTCCCGTGTCAGAGTTCTGCTGTTGCAGGCTGAGTGCAGTGGTGAGATCCTAGCTCACTGTGGCCCCGACCTCTTGGGCCCAAGCTATCCTCCCACTTCGGCCTCCCAAAGTTCTGGGACTACAGGTGTGAGCCACTGCACCTGGCCCAAAGGGTGTCACTCGTTTACTGATAAATGGTCTAGAAGGGGAGGAGGGCCAGGCACCTCCTCATGCCTGTAATCCCCATACTTTGGGAGGCCAAGGCGGGCAGATTGCCTGAGGTCACAGGTTCAATACCAGCCTGACCAGCATGGTGAAACTTCATCTCTATTAAAAATACAAAATTAGCCGGGTGTGGTGGTTCATGCCTGTAATTCCAGCTTCTCAGGAGGCTGAGGCAGGAGAAACGCTTCAACCCAGGAGGCGGAGGCTGTGGTGAGCTGAGATTGTGCCATTGTACTTCAACCTTGGCAACAAGAGCAAAACTCCGTCTCAAAAAAAAAAAAAAAAAAAAAAAAGCGGGGGGGGGGGTGGGGGTGGGGAGGAGGAAGCAGCAGCAACAGTTACAGGAACCACTGTTGAACACCTACCGAGCTGTGCCAAGCGCAGCACTAAAACTCCTCCAAGGCTTCCTCGCTGAGTTCTCAAAACAGGTCTGCAGAGTAGGTGCTCTGGACGACCCGACAGACAGATGCTTCGGAAAGGCTGCATCACTTGTCCGCATTGCACGGTGCTCGGGTGGGGATGCTGGGAGTCAAGGCTGGGGCCGATTCTGCGGAGCTGTCTGGCGTTGTGGCCACTATCCACGTGTGGTCAGCCAAATCTAAATTAAATGGAAAAGTCGGTCTCTCCGTCACACTAGACCCGTTCAAGAGCTCATACCCACGTGGGGCTAGCAGCTGCCATTCTGGACGGCACAGCTCTAGGTGACCTTTAATTTTACCTGGATGGCAGTGCTGGTATCAGCGAGACATCCAGGCTCACAGTGACGGGCTGTGACCCCTTCACAGCCTGAGCGCGGAAAGGGGTGTTCCACTCAAGTTCTTGTGACAGCAGAACACCCGTCACTCATGTAGCAGACTGTCAGGAATCACTCAGTGCCACATAAAAAGCTGCTTAGATGGCCAGGCGTCGTGGCTCACGCCTGTTACTCCGGCAGTCTGAGAGGCCGAGGTGGGCAGATCACCTGAGGTCAGGAGTTCAAGGCCAGCCTGGCCAGGGTGTTGAAACCCTGTCTCGACTAAAAGTACAAAAGAATCAGCTGGGTGTGGTGGCATGCGCCTATAATCCCAGCAACTTGAGAGGCTGTCAGGAGAATTGCTGGAACCTCAGTTGCGGAGGTTGTGGCGAGCCGAGATGGAGCCATTGTACTCCAGCCTAGGCAACAAGAGCAAAACTCTGCCTTAAAAAAAAAGATTGCTTTACTTTTGAAAAAGCAGAGGATCTAGTTTATGTGTAAGGCTGAGGATGTGTTAAATGCACTTTGTCTGGAGGTGGTCCTGCTCTCTGTTCACCCAGGCTGCACTTCAGAGGCACAGTCACAGCTGACTGCAGTCTCTACCTCCCAGGCTCAAGGGATCCTCCTGCCTCAGCTTCCCGAGTAGCTCAGACTACATGCATGCACCACCATGCCCAGCTAGTTCTTTTTAGACACAGGGTCTTGCTGTGTTGCCCAGGCTGGTCTCAAACTCCTGGGCTCAAGCAATCCTCCTGCCTCAGCCTCTCAAAGTTCTGGAATTACAAGCATAAGCCATGGTGCCCAGCCTAAGTGTACTTTTACGTTGGAAAAATCAGCCGGGCACAGTGTCTCATGCCTGTAATGCCAACACTTTGGGGGTCGAGGCAGGTGTATCACTTGAGATCAGGAGTTCAAGACCAGCCTGGCCAACATGGTGAAACCCTGTCTCTACTAAAAATACAACAATGAGCCAAGTGTGGTGGTACATGCCTCTGATCTCAGCTAGTCCGGAGGCTGAGGCAGGAGAATCACTTGAACCTGTGAGGCGGAGGTTGCAGTGAGCCGAGATCATGCCACTGCACTCCAGCCTGGGCAACAGAGTGAGACTCCATCTCGAAATAAACTAAATAAGTAAATAAATTGGAAAAGTCACTCATTTCGGCAAAGCCTTACGTCACAGCCACGTGGGGGCTTGGAAGTGGCCGAGCAGTGAGCACACCCCTGCTGCCCGTCCACTTCCTGTCATGACTGGCAGATCTTATCACCCGCAATACCTATGGTATTTCTGGGGGCTGATGCATTGGAGTTGAGTTTGCAAGTTAAAGGCAGAGACAATGTGACTTGCCCCTATGTCTGCAAGGACATGCCAGCTGTGGAGGTGATACCTCTTTCCCTCCCTCGCAAAGGAGGGCGAGAAGGAACTTGAACGCACCTCATCCCGTTGTGTGGGGTTCTCTTCTTGCAGACTGCAGGACTGCGGACTCACAGCCACGGGCTGCCAGAGTCTGGCCTCAGCCCTCATCACCAACCACAGCCTGACACACCTGTGCCTTTCCAACAACAACCTGGGGAATGAAGGTGTGACTCTGCTGTGTCGATCCTTGAGGCTTCCCCACTGTGGTCTGCAGAGGCTGATGTAAGTCTGGCTTGCTCCCCTGGTGGACTTCCTAGCTTTCCAACACAGCGTGGTGTGTTTCAACAAAGCAGAAAGCGGGGATGGGAGTGTGGCCTCATCACGTGAGGGGACCTGGCATGTGCTGAATCCTGTCCCTGTTCACGGCTCCTAGATTGCATCCTTTCTTGGGAAGTTCTGTGTCTGCCTTTGTGTTATCTTCCAGTGGGAAGTCATCTGTTGAGACGGTGAGTTCTCACGGTTTGAGGTCATCATGTTCTACAAAGCCACCCTTCAGCGCTGAACCAGCCCACACGGAGTTGTTGCCCAGGGAGGGTAGACGGTTAGGTTCCTGCAGGCCTCCAGTCACGTTTTCATCCAGCAATGAAGACTTTGTATTTCGTGTTTGCATTCAGCGACTTTAATACCCATCGTTGATTCGTTCACATTAAGCACGTGACCCATGCCTGACAAAGCCCCTCTGACACAGTGATGGACCTTCAAGCCTCCCCACCTCCCCAGCACTTCGGTGTTACATTAGGAGGTCATTTTAAACAACAAAATTGTGGCCGTGCCAGTGGCTCACACCTGTAATCTCAGCACTTAGGGAGGCCGAGGAGGGCGGATCACGAGGTCAGGTGTTCGAGACTAGCCTGGCCAACATGGTGAAACCCCATCTCTACTAAAAATACCAAAAATTAGTTGGGTGTGGTGATGTGCACCTGTAATCCCAGCTACTCGGGAGGCTGAGGCAGGAAAATCACTTGAAGGCAGAAGGTGGAAGTGACAGTGCGCCGAGATCGTGCCACTGCACTCCGGCCTGGACGACAGAGTGAGCCTTTGTCACAAAACAAAATTGTCCCCAAAAAGCACAAAAAAACACCTGGGCACAGTGGCTCATGCCTGTAATCCCAGCACTTTGGGAAACCAAGGTGGGTGGATCACAAGATCAGGAGTTAAAGATCAGCCTGGCCAACATAGTGAAACCCCGTTTCCACTAAAAATACAAAAAAAAAATCAGCTGGATGTGGTGGTGTGCACCTGTAATCCCAACTACTTGGGAGGTTGAGGCAGGAGAATCGATTGAACTTGGGAGGTGGAGGCTGCAGTGACCCGAGATTGGCCCATTGTACTGCAGCCTGAGCAACAGAGTGAGACTCCGTCTCAAAAATTCCGACAAACATGGCACTAAGACCTCAGAAAGGACACTCCCTGACAGTGGAGAGCTGAGAGCAGTTCAGCCTGCACTGGGAGTGACATGTGTGCCTGGAGACCCGAGTTCTTCTCTGCTCCGCGCACATGCGTGTCCAGGAAGGACTGTGAGCACTGCCGGTGTTGATTCGGAGAATTACCAAGATGTTTTAGCAAGTAGGAAAATTCGCAAAGACGGAATCGGTGAATAATGAGGATCGATTTATTGATTTACTATGTTTGTTGGTTGCTAGTGATGCAGAGACAAAATACATACCAGTTCTCATTTTTTATTTTTCCATAAGTGACTGGGGTGCAGGTCATGTTTGGTTATATAGGTAAGTTGTTTTTTTGTTTTTTGAGATAGTTGGAGTTCAGTGGTGCGATCTCGGCTCACTGCAACCTGCGCCTCCCCTCCAGGGTTCAAGCGATTGTCCTGCCTCAGCCTCCCAAGTAGCTGAGATGACAGGTGTGCACCACCACACCCAGTTAGTTTTGTATTTTTGGTAGAGATGGAGTTTTTCTATGTTGTCCAGGCTGGTCTTCAACTCCTGACTGGTGATCTGCCCACCTCGGCCTCCCAAAGTGCTGGAATTACAGGTACAAACCACCGTGCCTGACCAGGTTACGTGAGTAAATTCTTTAGTGGTGATTCGTGAGATTGCAGTGCACCCGTCACTCAAGCAGTGTACCCTGCACCATATTTGCTGTCTTTTATCCCTCGCCCCCCTCCCACTCTTCCCCCCAAATCCCCAAAGTCCATTGTATCATACGTAGGCATTTGCAGCCTCATAGCTTAGCTCCCATTTACCAGTGAGAACATACAACATTTGGCTTTCCATTCCTGAGTTACTTCACTTAGAAAAATAGTCTCCAGCCAGGCGCAGTGGCTCAAGCCTGTAATCCCAGCACTTCGGGAGGCCGAGGCGGGTGGATCACGAGGTCAAGAGATCGAGACCATCCTGGTCAACATGGTGAAACCCCGTCTCTACTAAAAATAAAAATAATTAGCTGGGCATGGTGGCGCGTGCCTGTAGTCCCAGCAACTCAGGAGGCTGAGGCGGGAGAATTGCCTGAACCCAGGAGGTGGAGGTTGTGGTGAGCCAAGATCGCGCCATTGCACTCCAGCCTGGGTAACAAGAGCGAATCTCCGTCTCAAAAAAAAAAAAAGAAAAGAAAAAAGAAAAAGAAAAATAGTCTCCAATCTCATCCAGCTCACTGCAAATGCTGCTAATTCATTCCTCTTCATGGCTGTATAGTATTCCATTGTATATACATACCACAGTTTCGTTATCCACTCATTGTTGGGCATTTGGGTTGGTTCCACGATTTTGCAGTTGTGAATTATGCTGCTATAAACATGAGTATGCAAGTATCTTTTTCAAACATTGACTTCTTTTCCTCTGGGTAGATACCCAGTAGTGAGATTGCTGGATCAAATGGTACTTTTACTTTTGGTTATTTAAGGAATCTCCACACTGTTTTCCAAGGCAGCTGTACTAGTTTACCTTCCCAGCAGCAGTGTAAAAGTGTTCCTTGTTCACTGTTTCCATGCCAACATCTACTGTTTGATGGTTTTGATTATGGCCATTCTTGCAGGAGTAAAGGGATGTCATACTGTGATTTTCATTTGCCTTTCCCTAATGATTAGTGATGTTGAGCTTTTTTTAATTTGTTGGCCATTTGTATATCTTCTGAGAATTGTCTACTCATGTCCTTAGCCCACGTTTTGATGGGATTGTTTTTTTTCTTACTGATTTGAGTTCACTGTAGCTTCCGCATATTAGTCCTTTGTCAGATTAATAGACTGTGAAGATCTTGTCCCACTCTGTGGGCTGTCTGTGGACTCTGCTGAGTGCTGTCTCGCCATGCAAAAGCGCTTTAATTCAATTAGGTCCCAGCTATTTAATCTTTGTTTTTATTGCATTGGCTTTTGAGTTCTTGGTCTTGAACCCCTTGCCTAAGCCAATGTCTCTAAGGGTTTTTCCAATGTTACCTTCTAGAATCGTTATAGTTTCAAGTCTTAGTTTCAGGTTTAAGTCTTTTTTGGGTGGAGCTGGGGGAGGTGGGGATGGAGTTTGACTCCTGTCACCCAGGCTGGAGTGCAGTGGTACAGTGTTGGCTCACCGCAACCTCTGCCTCCTGGGTTCAAGTGATTCTCCTGCCTCAGCCTCCCCAGTAGCTGGGATTACAGGTGCTTGCCACCGTGCCCAGGTAATTTTTGTATTTTTAGTAGATACGGGGTTTCACTGTGTAGGCCTGGCTGGTCTCAAACTCCTGACTTAGTGATCTGCCTGCCTCTGCCTCCCATAGTGCTGGAATTACAGGTATGAGCCACCACGCCCAGCCAGGATTAAGTCTTTAATCCGTCTTGAGTTAATTTTTGTATAAGGTGAGAGATGACGATTATCCAGGTTCATTCTCCTGCATGTGGGTAGCCAATTATCCTAGCACCGTTTGTTGAAAAGGGTGTTCTTTCCCCACTTCGTTTTTGTTTGCTTTGTCAAAGATCAGTTGGCTGTGTAAGTATTTGGGTGTATTTTTGGGTTCTCCATTCTGTTTCATTGATGTCTGTGCCGATTTTTGTACCACTACTGTGCTCTTTGGTGACTATGGCTTTATAGTATAGTTGGAAATCGGGTAAGGTGGTGCCTCTAGATTTGTCCGTTTTACTTAGTCTTGCTTTGGCTGTGCAGGCTCTTTTTTTTTTTTTTGCTTCCATTTGAATTTTAGAATTGTTTTTTCTAATTGGGTGAAGAATGATGGTGGTGTTTTGATGGGGACTGCATAGAATTTGTGGATTGCTTTTGTCAGTACGGTCATTCTCAGAATATCCTACCCATCCATCCATGAGCGTGGGATGTGTTTCCGTTGGTTAATGTTGTCTATGATTTCTTTCAGCAGTGTTTTGTAGTTTCCCGGGTAGAGGTCTTTCACCTCCTTGGTTAGGTATGTTCCTAAGTTTTTGTTTGGTTTTGTTTTTACAGGTGTTGTAAAGGGGGTTGAGTTCTTGATTCCTCTGCTTGGTCACTGTTGGTGTAAAAAGAGCTATTGATTTGTGTACATTAATCTTGTATCTGGAAACGTTGTTGAATTCTTTGCTCAGTTCTAGGAGCTTTCTGGAGGAGCCCTTAGGGTTTTCGGGGTGAACAATGACACAGCAAACAGTGACAGTTTGACTTCCTCTTTACCAACTTGGATGCCCTTTATTTCTTTCTGTTGTGTGATTGCTCTGGCTAGGACTTCCAGGACTGTGTTGAAGAGGAGTGGTGAGAGTGAGCATCCTTGCTTGTTCCAGTTCTCAGAGGGAATGCTTTTAACTTTTCCCCATTCAGTATTATGTTGGCTGTGGCTTTCTCATAGACGGCTTTTATTACATTAAGGTATGACCCTTGTATGCTGATTTTGCTCAGAGTTTTAATCATTAAGTGATGCTGGATTTTGTCAAATGCTTTCTCTGCCTCTACTGACATGATCATGTGATTTTTGTTTTTAATTCTATTTATGTGGTGTCTCACATTCATTGACTTGCGTATATTAAACCATCCCTGCATTCCTGGTATGATGTCTACTTGATCATGGTGGATTATCTTTTTGATATGTTCTTGGATTCAGTTAGCTAGTATTTTGTTAAGAACTTTAGCATCTATGTTCATTAACAATATTGGTCTGTATTTTCTTTTTTGGTTGCATCCTTTCCTAGTTTTCATATTAGGGTGATACTGGCTTCATGGAATGAATTAGGTAGGGTTCCTTTTTCTCTATCTTGTGGAGTAGTGTCAAAAGGATTGGTACCAATTCTTGTATGAATGGTAGAATTCTCCTGTTAATCCATCTAGTCCTAGACTTTCTTTGTTGGTAATTTTTAAATTACCATTTCAGTCTTACTGCTTGTTACTGGTCTGTTCAGGATACCTAATTCCACTACGAGGGTTGTATCTTCCCAGGAATTTAGCCCTTTCTTCTAGTTTCTCTAGTTGATGTGCATAAAGTTGTTCATAGCAGCCTTGAATGATCTTGAGTATTTCATTGGTGTCAATTGTAATGTCTCCTGTTTGTTTCTCAGTGAGGTTATTTAGGTTTTTTCACTTCTCTTCTTGGTTAATCTTGCCAATGGTCTATCAATTCTATTTCTCTTTTCAAAGAACCAGCTTTTTGTTGGATTTATCTTTTGTAACTTTTTTTGTTTCAGTTTCATTTAGTTGTGCTCCGATCTTGGTTATTTTCTTTATCGTGCTGGGTTTGGGTTTGGTTGTTCTTGTTTCTCTAGTTCCTTGAGGTGTGACCTTAGAGTGCCTCTTTGTACTCTTTCAGTCTTTTTGATGTAGGTGTTCAGGGCCCGGAACCTGCCCCCTTATCACTGCCTTTGCTGTATCCCAGAGGTTTTGATAGGTCGCGTTATGATTGTCATTCAGTTGGAAGCATTTAATTTCCATCTTGACTTTATTTTTGACCCAGTGCTTACTCGAGAGCAGGTTATTTAATGTCCATGCATTGGCATGGTTTTAAAGGTTCCTTTTGGAGTTGATTTCCAGTTTTATTTCACTGTGGTCTGAGAGTGCTTGATATAATTTCGGTTTTCTTAAATTTATTGAAGCTTATTCTATGGCCTATCATGTAGGGTCCAGCCCTGCAGGGTCCTGTGAGCCCCTCTGTACAGGTGTGGAGACGAGAAACTGTAGAAGTAAGATGCAAGACACAAAGAAAGAGAAAACAGTTTGGGCCCAGGGGTCCACTGCCAACGAAAGCGTGGAGTCCAGCAATGGCCCCGAGTGCCTGGACACTCTGACTTTTATGAGTACAAAGCAGGGGGTAGGGTAGGGCCAGGCATTGGTGGTCAGTGACAGGGTGAAGTAAATCATGCGTCTTGGAGACAGGGGCCCAGGACTTTCAAGTAGCTGAGATGAGGAGAAAATGTGTAAGCACTTTTCACATACTGGTCAAAAGTATCAGGGACATTAAGATTTATGTTACTGGCTGGGCGCGGTGGCTCATGCCTATAATCCCAGCACTCTGGGAGGCTGAGGCGGGTGGATCACGAGGTCGAGAGATCGAGACCATCCCGGTCAACATGGTGAAACCCCGTCTCTACTAAAAACACAAAAAATTATCTGGGCGTGGTGGCACGTGCCTGCAATCCCAGCTACTCAGGAGGTTGAGGCAGGAGAATTGCCTGAACCGAGGAGGCGGAGGTTGTGGTGAGCCGAGATCGCACCATTACACTCCAGCCTGGGTAACAAGAGCGAAACTCCGTCTCAAAAAAAAAAAAAAAAAAAAAAAAAAAAAAAGATTAATGTTACTAATTCCTCTAAGAAAAAGGAACCAAATGCAGAAGTGGAACATGAAAGTAGACATGGAATGTGAGCACTGAAGCACAGCACCATGTAGAGACAAGCCCCAGGATGTCTGCAGGCCTCCCTGACAGCCATCGGGCCTTATCGCAAGAGCTCAGAGGAGTGGAGTTTTCTCCTAACTCCCTCAGGAAGGCGACGTCTCGGACATCTTGAACGGCTCCTTCCCTGGCTGGCTAAACAGCAGGTGCTTTCCCAGTGCTGGCACTGCCGCACAGCTGAGGCGCCCTCCAGCAGCCCTTACGTAGGTGTGACAGAGGGCTCAGAGCATTTCATCTTAGGGTCTCCTCCTTCCCAACGCCACTTCAGTTCCACACTTGATGCCCCGAGAATCACTAGTAAGATTAAAACGTTATATTGCATATATAGATATTTATGATTACACGTGAGTAACTACATGATACTATATGATTATATATAGGAATAACTATGTGCTTGTATTTCTAATTCTTGTTCAGTATTCATATGGGAGCAGGCTGAGGCCTCAGACCCTTGCCTGGGCACGTGCGGGGTTTCCCTCCCACACGCTATCACACAGTCTATCTTAGAGAAAGTTCCGTGCACTGTTGATTGGAATGTGTTTTCTGCGGTTGTTGGGTGACGTGTTCTGTATTGCTGTTAAATCCTTTTGTTCCAAGGTGTAGTTTAAATCTGTTGTTTGTTACCTTTCCTGTCTTGATGACCCGTCTAGCGCTGTTAGTGGAGTATTGAAGTCCCCCACTGTTACTGTGTTTCTATCTTTCTCATTTCTTAGGTCTATTCGTAATTGTTTTCTAAATTTAGGACTTCCAATGTTAGGTGCACATATCTTTAGAACTGTGATAGAATTCCTTTTGGACAAGGCCTTTTACCATTATATAATGTCTCTCTTTGTCTCTTTTAACTGCTGTTGCTTTAAAGTTGGTTTCATTAGATGTAAGAACAGCTGCCCCTCCTTTTTGCTGTCCATTTGCATGAAATGCACTTTTCCACCCCTTGACTTGATGTCAGTCTTTAAGTTTTAGGTGAGTCTCCTGAAGGCAGCAGATGTTTGGTTGGTGAGTTCTTATCCATCCTGGATTCTGTATCTTTTTTTTTTTTTTTTTTTGAGACGGAGTTTCGCTCTTGTTACCCAGGCTGGAGTGCAATGGCGCGATCTCGGCTCACCACAACCTCCGCCTCCTGGGTTCAGGCGATTCTCCTGCCTCAGCCTCCTGAGTAGCTGGGATTACAGGCACGCACCACCACGCCCAGCTAATTTTTTGTATTTTTAGTAGAGACGGGGTTTCACCATGTTGACCAGAATGGTCTCGATCTCTTGACCTTGTGATCCACCTGCCTTGGCCTCCCGGATTCTGTATCTTTTAAGTGGAGCATTTAGGCCGTTTACATTGAATGTTAGTATTGAAATGTGAGGTACCATTGCATTCATCATGCTCTTTGTTGCCTGTGTTTTTGTTTCATTTTGTTTTTGCTTTTTAACTTGTATTTTTGTCTTACAGGTCCTGTGTGATTTATGCTTTAAAGAGGTTCTGTTTTGATGTATGTCCAGGATTTCTTTCAAAATTTAGAGCTGCTTTTAGTGGTGGCTTGGTAATGGCAAATTCTTTCAACATTTGTTTCTCTGAAAAAGATTGTATCTTTCCTTCATATATGATAGATAGTTTCACTGGGTACAAAATTCTTGGCTGATAATGTTTTGTTCAAGGAGGCTGAAGATAGGGCCCCAATCCCTTCTAGCTTGTAGGGTTTCTGTTGAGAAATATGCCGTTAATCTGATAGGTTTTCCTGTATCGGTTACCTGGTGCTTCTGCCTCACAACTCTTAAGATTCTCTCCTTCCTCTTAACTTTGGATAACCTGATGACATTGTGCCTAGGTAAAGATCTTTGTGTGATTAATTTCCCAAGTGCTCTTTGTGCTCCTTGTATTTGAATGTCTAGGTCTCCAGAAAGGCCAGGGAAGTTTTCCTCAATTATGCACCCACATACATTTTCCAAACTTTTAGAATTCTTTCTCAGGAATACCAGTTTCTTAGGTCTGCATTTAACATAATCCCAGACTTCTTGGAGGCTTTGTTCATATTTTCTTATTTCTTTGTCTTCGGGGTGGGTGGGTGTGGGGCAGGGTTTGTGGCTGGGGGGCCCTCTCCTGCCCTGCCTATGCCCGACTAGCTACCTACTGTAACAAAATCACAAGGGTCCTTCCTAGGGAAGGTAGGAGAAAGGGGAGGAAGAGGTGCGGTCATGGAGGTCACAGAACATGAAAAAGCAAGGACACAGATTGTCCCGGAGTCTCCAGGAGGGAGCAGCTCTGCTGGTGCTTTAGCCCTGTGCGGCCTGTTAGACTTCTGGCCCGCAGAACTGTCAGATAACAAATGTCTGTTTTAAGCAACGAAACGTGTGGCCATTTGTTATTACAGTCACAGGAAACTCTTAATACGTTCAGTGTGAAGGAAAATTAAAGAGGTCAGAGGACCTTGAACCACAGCCAGCCCCTGCGTTTTGCCAGTCACAGGACCAGGGACCTGTGGTCTCCTGTTCATGAAAGCCTGGTGACCGTCTTAAGCACAAATATGACCCCCTGCAGCCGAGCACAGTGGCTCACACCTGTCATCCCAGCATTTTGGGAGGCCAAGGCGGGCAGATCACTTGAGGTCAGGAGTTCAAGACCAGCCTGGTCAACACGATGAAACCCCGTCTCTACTAAAAATACGAAAATTAGCCAGGCGTGGCAGCACGTGCCTGTAATCCCAGCTACTCGAGAGGCTGAGGCAGGAGAATCTCTCGTGCCCAGGAGTCAGGCTGCCGTGAACTGCTGCATAGTAAGAAGGCATTAAGTGCTTGTCACTGTGTTCCAGCCTGGATGACAGATCAAGACTCCTTCTCAAAACAGGAAAAATAAAATACAGTCTGACCTCCTCCTCCACAGAAGCAGCCTGGAGCCGGGAGAAGAGTAGCAGGTGACTTGAGGTCATGCTGGGGAACAAGGGTCACCATCTTCTTTCCTGTGTGTGTGTCCCACAGGCTGAATCACTGCAACCTGGACACAGCTGGCTGCGGCTTTCTCGCACTTACGCTTCTAGGCAATGCACGGCTGATGCACCTGAGCCTCAGCATGAACCCCTTGGAAGACAGCGGTGTGAAGCTTCTGTGCGAGGTCATGAGAGAACCATCTTGTCATCTCCGGGACCTGGAGTGAGTTTCCCATGGGGGTTCCATATGCGGTCTGGGGTTCCTGAAAGGTGAAAAGAGAGGAGCAGGCAGACGGGATGCAAAAACTGCTCTCGGGGTGAGCCGACACTGATCTCTCCAAAGGTGTTCCGAGGCAAGCTGAGGTGTTGCCACCACGGTGAGTGTGGGAAAGGCCGGCGAGCCTCATGGGAGGAACCGTGAGTTCTGAGTCAGCCTTGAAACTCCAACCTCTGTCTGTTCCGCAGAGGAGGGCATCTTGTCCTGAGCTATCCTCAGCTGTTTTTCTGTCTGTAGAGAAAGGAGAGTTCTTGTCTCTTAATCTCACTCTCTCTGGAGCTCAAATTTTTTCACCCTTGGTTGAGATGAATATCCTATCACTAAACAGACAGTAGAGACAGTAGACGATCTCTGAGCAGAAATGAATCTTCAGCCTCACAACTTTACTGTCACGCCAGTTGTTTCGCTGTCTTCTGTGATTCTTTGTCCTAGATGCAAACATGCATTTGATGTTTTACAAAAAAAGGATGGGAGGATCGTAGTAAGTCAGCACTTAATACAACTTAATGCATTTTTTTGTTTGTTTTTGGAGTATTGCTCTATTGCCCAGGCTGGAGTGCAGTGGTGTGATCTCAGCTCACTGCAACCTCCGCCTCCCAGATTGAAGGGATTCTCCTGCCTCAGCCTCCTGAGTGGCTGGGATTACAGGCATGCATCACCATGCTCAGCTAATTTTCTGTGTTTTTAGTAGAGATGGGGTTTTACTGTGTTGGCCAGGCTGGTCTTGAACTCTCGACCTCAGGTGATGTACTTGCTTTGGCCTCCCAAGTGCTGGGATTACAGGTGTGAGCCACCGTGCCCGGCCAAGCACTTGCTGCATTCTTACCATGTGGTAGAAGAGCACTAAATGTTGTTTATCTAGTCTCATGTAGCCTCGCCACCCCTCATCATATCCAGTGGAGACTAGAACTCCCAGGAAACCAAAACTCTGGCATTGGTCTCACATTCTATCCGTTATGATAAATGAAGCATGGTACGGTGTTCTATTGAATGGCATATCCTAACTTTACGTGTTCTAAACCTGGAAACTTACCTTGTATCCAGTGTGTTCATCCTGAGCATAAATAATTCCATTATAAACCTTTGTGTACCTGGTAGCATTTGCTCACAAATTCCATAATTTGCTCATAATTAGGTAGACTTAATGGACAAGTAGGATAGCATTTTGAGATCTTTCCCTTCCCCAAAATAAAAGGACTTGGGTATGGATTCTAGTTCACAAACTTCCAAGTGCCCCCCGGTATTAATTCCACTATTTGTTTTAATTATTTGAAGCCCTACTTTTGCATGGTGTAGAATCTTAGCCAATTAGAGACAAAGTTGTCCTGTTTTTTTTTTGTTGTTGTTGTTTTTGTTTTTGTTTTGTTTTGTTTTGTTTTGTTTAGACAGGGATTGTTGCTCTTGTTGCCTAGGCTGGAGTCCAACGGTGCGACCTCAGCCTCGGCCCCCTGGGTTCAAGCTATTCTCCTGCCTCAGCCTTCTGAGTAGCTGGGATTACAGGCACCACCACGCCAGGCCAGGCTAACTTTTTCTGTTTTACTACAGACAGGGTTTCCCAATGTTGGTCAGGCTGGTCTCAAACTCCTGACTTCAGGTGATCCTTCTGCCTCAGCCTCCCAAAGTACTGGGATTACGGGCATGAACACTGAGCGGCTTAGACATCTTTTTTTTTTTTTTTTTTTTTTTGAGATGGCATTTAAGTGCTGGGAGATTATCTGGACCTCTCCATCACCATTTATCCAAGCTAGCAGCAAAGAAGACTTGGTCATCCCCACCTGACCTTCAAGGGTTGGTCCTCATAACTGCATCCCTCTTTTTTTTTTTTTTTTTTTTTTTTTCTTCTGATAGAGTTTCATTCTTGTTGCCCAGGCTGGAGTGCAGTGACACAATCTGGGCTCACTGCAACCTCTGCCTCCCAGGTTCAAATGATTCTTCTGCCTCAGCCTCCTCAGCAGCTGGGATTACAGGAGCCCGCAACCACGCCTGGCTAATTTTTTGTATTTTTGGTAACAGGGTTTCGCCATGTTGGTCAGGTTGGTCTGGAACTCCTGATTGGAGGTGATCCACCTACCTTGGCCTCCCAGAGTGCTGGGCTGGGATTACAGGCGTGAGCCACCATGACTGGCCTGCATGCCTCTTGATTCTTGACCGGACGGCTCCTGGGGATGGACTCTCTGGCCCTGGTACTCTCTTTCTCTACCCAGGCTGAAGACGGGAGACTTGGAGGCGGCTTCAGTTGTTTCCCCTGCGATAAACCACGTGGTGTTTTGGGGGCCGCCCACCCCATCTCCCCACTTTTTCTAGGAAAAAAAAAGCACAATACTTCCCCTTTCGGATCGCACATCTATCCATGTTTCTGTGACTTCCATCCCCTTTCCTGTCCTGCTCCGGGCTTTGTCAGAGGCTTTTCCCCCTTGCACTTCTTCCTGCATTTCTCTCCTCCTCCCCCATGGAGAATCTTCACCTCATCTCCAAGTGGGAAGCAAACTCAGCTGTGCTCATTTCTTGTAAAGATACAGCCAGGGGTGGTGGCAGGTACCTGTAACCCCAGCTACTCGGGAGGCAGAGGCGGAAGAATCACTTGAACCTGGGAGGCAGAGGTTGCAGTGAGCCAAGATTGCCCCACTGCACTCCAGCCTGGGTGACAGAATAAGACTCCGCCTTGAAAAATAAAAATAGGCCGGGCGCCGTGGCTCAAGCCTGTAATCCCAGCACTTTGGGAGGCCGAGGCGGGTGGATCACGAGGTCGAGAGATCGAGACCATCCTGGTCAACATGGTGAAACCCCGTCTCTACTAAAAATACAAAAAACTAGCTGGGCATGGTGGCGCGTGCCTGTAATCCCAGCTCCTTAGGAGGCTGAGGCAGGAGAATTGCCTGAGCCCAGGAGGCGGAAGTTGCAGTGAGCCGAGATCGCGCCATCGCGCTCCAGCCTGGGTAACCGGAGCGAAACTCCGTCTCAGAAAAAAAAAAATAAATAAAGGTACCTTCAATCACAGCTGGCACTTTCTCCACCCTCTGCTGTCACCCCTCTCTTAAGCCAAGAGATACCACATGGTCTAAGCCCTTGACAGGAATGGACAGAAAAATCCCCATCAGGAAGGAATAAAGAATCCTGGGTCAGTGCTGCTGAACATTCTCCCACTGTCCACTGTCCCCGAGAGACGCGCTCTCTCCCACTGTCCCCGAGAGACGCTGACTCGCTCTGTCTCCCACTGTTCCTGACAGATGCTCACTCGCTCTGTCTCCTGTTGTCCCTGAGAGACGCTGACTCGCTCTGTCTCCCAGCGTCCATGGTCCCCGCCTCACTGTGCCTCCCACTGTCCGCGATCCCCGAGAGAAGCCATCTCACTCTGTCTCCCACCTCTGCAGGCTGGTCAGCTGCCGTCTCACTGCTGCGTGCTGTGAGAGTCTGGCCTATGTGATCGCGAGGAGCAGATATCTGAGGAGTCTGGATCTCTCCGAAAATGCCGTGGGTGACGTCGGCGTCGCTGCGCTGTGTGAGGGGCTGAAGCAAAGGAGAAGTGTTCTAAGGAGACTTGGGTAACTTCCTGGGGTGTCTCTTTGAGGGCCCGGCTGGGAGGAGTTGGGGTACCCCAGCGCGAGGTTGCTTGAATGAGGCTGTTGACAGTCTGGTTTCCATCGGTGCGTCAAGTTAGATGGATGGCAGTGTTTGTAGCACCACAGGTCTGGGTATAAGTTCTCCCGCAGTGTGGGGTGGCTGCCGGTAGCCTCAGCTGCTCTGAAGGCTGAGGCAGGAGAATCACTTGAACCTGGGAGGTGGAGGTTGCCGTGAGCCAAGACTGCACCACTGCATTTCAGCCTGAGTAACAGAGTGAGACTCTGTCTCAAAAAAAAAAAAAAAAAAAAAGTGCTGGTACAGCGCCAACAGACACCACAATGTGGGTGAGCCATGAAAACATCCCACTGAGTGGAAGAAGCCAGCCACGGAAAGTCACAGGGTGCATGAGATGCTCTGGACCAAGGTCTGGGGGTGGAAAACCCTCAGCTGCCCATTGAACGACCCCTATGTGCTAGTCCTGGTGCTAAGTGGCGGGAGTATGGAAATGAGAAGATGTTTGAGTTCTGGTGTGAATGGTCTAGAGACGAAGACGGGTAGAAAGCAAGGGGTGACCCGGGTGGCTCTCAGAACTCAAGTGAGCATCAGAATCACCCGGGAGCTTCCAAAGTGAAGGATCGTGGTTCAGCCATAAAAAGGAGAATGCTGAGGCCGGGCACGGTGGCTCATGCCTGTCATCCCTGCTTTTGGGTAGGCTGAGGCGGGCAGATCACTTGAGGTCTGGAGTTCAAGACCAGCCTGGCCAACATGTTGAAACCCCATCTCTACTAAAAATAGAAAAATTAGCTGGGCATGTGATGGCGGATGCCTGTAGTCCCAGCTACTCTGGAGGCTGAGGCAGGAGAATCGCTTGAACCCAGTGGGTGGGGGTTACAGTGAGCCGAGATTGCGCTCTCACGCTCCAGACTGGGTGACACAGTGAGACTCCGTCTCAAGAAAAAGTGTCAAGATGAAATTCATGGGGGTTGAGTGAAGGATCCCATCGTTGATCTTTGGGGTTATTTCCTGAGCGTCCTGGGTGACCCTGCAGGTTGAAGTCATGTGGATTGACTTCTGGTTGCTGTGAGGAACTCTCCTTGGCCCTTTCCTGCAACCGGCAGCTGGCCAGCCTAAACCTGGTACAGAATGACTTCAGTCCTACAGGAATGAGGAAGCTCTGTTCAGCCTTTGCATGTCCCACGTCTAATCTACAAATAATTGGGTAAGTCCCTGGCGATTGTCTTCTGAGCTACAGACTTGCTTCGTAGCTAGTGGAGAAGCAGTTTATGGGGAACGTGGAGGTCATGGCTTGGCAGCCAGATTTTACTCCATCGGTGAGTGCCCACTATGTTGTGGGTACTGTGCTGGGTGCTGGAGATACAGGGATGTGGGAGATAGAGGCCAGATGCCTGCTATCGTGGAGCTTACTGCTGGGTGGGTTGGAAAGGGTGCAGAGAGAGCATTATTAGTGTTTATGCTGAAAAAAAGCGGAATTGCTGTATAATCCAGCAATGTTACTTCTGAGTATAATATACCCCAAAGAATCAAAAGCAAGATCTCAGATTTCACACTCATGTTCCTAGCAGCATAATTCACAATAGTAGCTAAGAGGTGGAAGTAACCCAGGTGTTTGTGGATGAAAGGATAAACAGAATGTGGCATATACATGCAATGGAATTCAGCCTTAACAAGAAAATTCTGACACCTGCTACATGATGAAACCTTGGCATGCCAAGCAGAATAAGCCGGTGCTAAAAAGACTAATACTGTAGGATTCTACTTAGCTAAGGCTCATAGAATGGTGAAATTCATAGAGACAGAATAGTGACTTCCGAAGGATTGGGGTGAGGGGTTGGGGAGTTCTGGAATAGGTGTGGGGTTTTACTTCTGCAAGATGAAGAATTCTGGAGCCAGATGGTTGTAGTGATGGCGGCACAGCCATGTAAATGCACTTAACACCACTGAACAATACACCCAGCAAAACGTTTATTAAAGAGTTCACAACATTTCAACTTCTGTTGTTCAGTCCTTGTACCAGTCTGGAGAGCTGAGTTGATGGAGTTCACAAAAGTTCTTCAGGACTGTCCCTTAAGACTAAGAGCTTCCTTCACGAGACGGTGACAGTTTGAGATGCCTTCAGTGTTTGATGGTAGAAAAAGCATTTGTCACCAGGTGTGGTAGCTCATGCTTATAATCCCATCACTTAGGGAGGCCTAGGCAGGCAGATCCTGAGGTCAGGAATTCAAGACCAGCCTCACCAATGTGGTGAAACCCCATCTCTACTAAAAATACAAAAATTAGCTGGGCGTAGTGGCGGATGCCTATAGTTCCAGCTACTAGGGAGGCTGAGGCAGGAGAATTGCTTGAACCTGGGAGGCAGAGCTTGCAGTGAGCTGAGATTGTACCACTGCACTCCAGCCTGAGCAACAGAGTGAGATTCTGTCTCAAAAAAAAAAAAAAAAAAAAAAGGCATTTGTCATTTAGGATCTCATACTCATCGACTTCATAGACAAATAGGAGTTCAGAGATATCATTGAGCAGGAAGGAACACATTTGTACTCAAAGGGAGTAAAACCTTGACCAGAGAAATATACAGCTGGCAGCATTGACCACCCATTTGAGTTTGATTGTGGTTTCTTGGTTTCTTTCTTTATTTTTCTGAGATTGAGTCTCACTCTGTCACCCAGGCTGGAGTGCAGTGATGCAATCTTCTTGGCTCACTGTAACCTCTACCTCCTGGGTTCAAGTGATTCTCCTGCCTCAGCCTCCCAAGTAACTGGGATTATAGGTGCACACCACCATGCCTGGCTAATTTTTATATTTTTAGTAGAGACAGGGTTTTACCATGTTGACCAGGCTGGTCTCAAACTCCTGACCTCATGTCATCCACTCATCTCAGCCTCCCAAAGTGTTGTGATAACAGGCCTGAGCTACCGTGTCTGACCTGGTTGTGGTATATTTATATCAATAGAAAATTTCTCAATTGAGTAACTATTTTGTCTAGTATGGTCTAGCTGATGGTAGTTGAGTTTATACAGATTTCAAGTTCTGGCACGAGGGTATAATCAGGAAGAAGGCAAGAGTGGCTGTGGTGGACCCTGGGATCCCAGGAGGAAAGTGAAGACAGGAAGGGGAAGATGGATTGGGAAACATGGCTCGGTGAATGTGGGAGTCTGGGTGTGGTCAGAACTGTTCAGTGACAAAATGAGCTGAAAAGGTAGAGTGTTGTTGAAAGAATGTGTGTGTATCCTTGACTTAGGAGGCAGTATAGCTGCTGACAAGATTGGTGGTAACTACAGGACTTAGTAGTTGAAGTAGGATAGAAGTCAGAACTGGATTTACTGATTGACCTTTTATGGGGCTATTTCACCATCTGTGAAATGGGAATGGTGCTATGTACCTATGTAAATGTTTATTTCTCCTGTAGTAGACTTTAAACTTGGTGAAGGTGGGAACTTTGCCTTGTTCATCCCTATGTGGGAAGTCTTCACTTAATGTCATTGATAGGTTCTTAGAAACAGTGATTTTTTTTTTTTTTTTTTTTTTGAGACAGAGTTTCGCTCTTGTTACCCAGGCTGGAGTGCAATGGCGCGATCTCGGCTCACCGCAACCTCCGCCTCCTGGGTTCGGGCAATTCTCCTGCCTCAGCCTCCTGAGTAGCTGGGATTACAGGCACGCGCCACCATGCCCAGCTAATTTTTTGTATTTTTAGTAGAGACGGGGTTTCACCATGTTGACCAGGATGGTCTCAATCTCTTGACCTTGTGATCCACCCGCCTCGGCCTCCCAAAGTGCTGGGATTACAGGCTTGAGCCACTGCGCCCGGCCAGAAACAGTGATTTTAAGCAAAATGACGTGTAATGAAACCAGTGTTTTCTCATCGTTATAACAATGACTCCAAAGCAAATGATGTTCTTCATGAACTTGCTATGGTTTTGCTTAAAGTCACTATTTCCAATCAATGACATGAAGGGAGAACTTACTGTACCTCCTCAAACTTTATAGCAGGACCTGGCACAGAGACTGAGGAAGGAATTCAGAGATGGACTGAAGGATCATACCTGCCTCTTAAGACTCTTAGGATTGTTGTGAGGAGCAGATGGCTTTAAAAGCTCAGCATATCAGCTCTCATGAGACTTGGGGGAAAAAAAAAAGAGCTCAGCATAGTCTCTGACATGTCCAAGTTTCTTTACATGGAGAGAATTACTTTTATTCTATAGAGAACATGCTATAGTAACAAAGCAATAGAGGCTCACTGCCTGGTGTGCTAGAAGCCAATACTGTGACATTGGAGATTTGAGGGGGGGAAAAATGTTCTACATTACAGGTCAACTCATAAGGAGACAAGATTCGAACTCAAATCTGTCTCCCCGTGCTCGCCTCAAGGTAGTATTTGTATTGGAAGAAGTTCAGGGAGTAGATTCTGAGATTAGAAGATGATTGGAAGAAAAGAGGAGGTCTGGAAAGTTCTTGGACATTCATAATTACCTGCTCATGCTACCTCAAGGGTTGCGTGTCACTTTAGGGAGAATTAGTATAAAACATGGTGGAAATTCAGGCTGTGACATCAGCAAGCTCATTCTGCACAAACTCTGATCTGCCATACTGCATCTAACAAATTTCAGCCAGTTTTTTCAACTCAGAAGTGGAGTGGGGGAGTCTGTTTCAGCACAGTGGTTCTTTTCTGCTAGCCTAAAAGCTCAAGAATTCCTGTTAGTCATTGGTTTCTTTAACTCATTGGGGGCACATTTCACTACTCTTCCTTAAGAGTACAAGAAAAGTTTGAGATCCTTGAGGCTTCTAGGAATTTTGAGGAAGGGAGAAGAGTTTAAAGCAATGTCGCAGTAATGAGTTCCCTCTCTGCCTCCCCAGGCTGTGGAAATGGCAGTACCCTGTGCAAATCAGGAAGCTGCTGGAGGAAGTGCAACTGCTCAAGCCCCGGATGGTAATTGATGGTAGTTGGTATTCTTTTGATGAAGATGACCGGTACTGGTGGAAAAACTGAAGATAAGGAAACCTGCCCCACTCACACCCATATGATGGAGGAACTTTAGAAGCTGTTGTCTCAGAGCAAGTCATGCCTGGGAGTTCCTTCTCATAGATGGAGAATGATTTCTGATTCTCACACAGCCCTCAGTGCTAGCGATTCTTCTGTGTTCAGTATACCTTGATTACTGTATTTGAAGGCTGGTGATCTTCAAATCATAGGGCCTAGGTATCTGTGAAATGTCTGTCCTACCTCAGAGCACAAAGAGGGAATGAAATAAACACAGAGCATTTGGAAAAGATGTCAAGTGGTTTTCTTAGCTAGTTGGGGATAGGGTTTAAGAGCAGAGAGATTGGGAGAACCTAGATCTTCAAAAGCGGCATCCGAATTTGGGTACCACAACTACTGACGTTAAAGCACATACCTGAATACCAAAGGGTGGTGTGACTATCACTCCATATCAGGCCTATAAACATAGAGCCAAATGCATTGCTTAGTGTAATAAAGCGCTGGTCTACCACAGTCTCGGAGTAGACCAGACTTCTGATCTTTCTAGGTAGGAATTTGGGGCGGTACAGAATGAGACTGAATCCTGATGGTATGAGCTGGCCTGTGATTACTCGGGTGAGGCTGATTGGCACAGGTGTGTTTATCAGAGTTCATCCCTTCCTGACTGGCTGAATTTCAGATGCAAAGGACAGCTGTGGGTTGGTTTGCAAAAGCATGTTCACTGAGGTGAGTTGTTTTGGATTGTTTGACTGGATTTAAACCGGTCTGGGCAGCACCTTGTTACCATGGCTATAGAACCACCAGTCTATTCCTAGGAGAGTGGAAAACTCTTATATCCTTTCTATTTTTTAAAAATTATTAAAGTTCTGGGGTACATGTGCAGATTGTGTAGGGTTGTTACGTAGGTAAACATATGCCATGGTGGTTTGCTGCTTCCATCCCCCCTCATCCACATTAGGTTCTTCTCTTACTGTTATCCCTCCCCAATCCCCCCACCACCTGCTATCTCTCCCCTAGCCCACCCCACCCCGCAAGAGGCCCCAGTGTGTGATGCTTCCTTCCCTGTGTTCATGTGTACGTTCTCATTGTTCAACACCCACTTATGAGTAAGAACATGGGGTGTTTGGTTTTCTGTTCTTGTGTGAGTTTGCTGAGAATAGTTTCCAGCTTCATCCACGTCCCTGCAAAGGACAAGAACTCGTCCTTTCTTAGGGCTGTATGCTTTCCAAAATGTACGTTTTATGATGTCTTGTATTTTTCTCTACATGTTGATGATGAATGATGCCTAACACAACCATTACTGTGTACCATGCTCTGCCCTAAGCACTATGAATTATTTGCTCTTTACAACACCCTAGAGGTAAGTATATTTTATGCTTCCATCTTATAGATGAGAACATTGAGGTGCAGAAAATAACACACAGCCAGGCTGGGCACGGTGGCTCACACCTGTAATCCCAGCACTTTGGGAGGCCGAGGCAGGCAGATCACCTGAGGTCAGAAGTTCAAGACCAGTCTGGCCAACATGGTGAAACCCTGTCTCTACTAAAAATAGAAAATTAGCCAGGCGTGGTGGTATACGGCTATAATCCCAGCTACTCAGGAGGTTGAGGCAGGAGAATTGCTTGAACCCCTGGAGCAGAAGTTCTGGCGAGCTGAGATTGCACCACTGCACTCCTTCCTGGGTGACACAGCGAGACTCCATCTAAAAAAAAAACAAAAACAAACAAACAAAAAACCGCACAGCCAGTAAGTAGCAGAGCTGCCATTCATACCCAGGAAATCCATTTCTAGGGTTCATTCTACTAACTGAAATGTTTCCTCTACCATACAACCACCTTGCACGAGCCCTTCACTGTGCTGTGCATAAATCCATAACTCCAGCCACCCCTTTAAACCGGGAAATGTTTTAGCCTCATTCCCTGTCAGCACTTATTAGACAGGGACTGGCATGCCCCCGTTTATGCTCCCATTGCAGTGGAGCTATGTCAGGTATAGGAGAGATGTCAGCTCTGTAGTTCATCTGTACATATAGCATCAGCATTATCTTCAATCTGTGGTGTCTTTGCAGGAACACTTCTTAAAAACTCGTGTGTTCTGGGAGTGTTTGTTTTTTAAAAAACACTTGGACATTGGACCAGTGTGATGCATGTAGGAGGTGACAGGGTGGAAGAGTGAGAGGAGAGTTAGCCCTTCTGAATCAGAGTATCCGTCTTTACAATACCTTTGCTCCCACATGGGACACATGCCCAACTAAAATAGACAGGGCAAGGAAACCACCATTCGTACTTGTGTTAACAAAGCATTACTCTGTTAGTCTTGTTGAAGGTCTATCACCTTATGCATAGCTAAAAATACACAATGCTCTTCTTCGGTGTCTTGAGCACTGCTGCCTACCCCACCTTCAACAGTTAAAAATATTCCACTTTGTAAAATTACAGCCAAAGGGAAGGTCAACAGGAGAAGCCAAGTTTAGAAACAATGTTTTATTTATTATTCTTTAGAAACAACATCTCACGGCCGGGCACGGTGGCTCAAGCCTGTAATCCCAGCACTTTGGGAGGCCGAGGCGGGTGGATCACGAGGTCAAGAGATCGAGACCAACCTGGTCAACATGGTGAAACCCCGTCTCTACTAAAAATACAAAAAATTAGCTGGGCGTGGTGGCGCGTGCCTGTCATCCCAGCTACTCGGGAGGCTGAGGCAGGAGAATTGCCTGAACCCAGGAGGCAGAGGTTGCGGTGAGCCGAGATCGCGCCATTGCACTCCAGCCTGGGTAACAAGAGCGAAACTCTGTCTCAAAAAAAAAAAAAAAAAAGAAAAAAAAGAAAAAAAAAGAAACATCTCACTATCTTGCCCAGGCTAGTCTTGAACTCTTGGGCTCAGGTGATCCTTATGCCACAGTCTCCCAGAGTGCTGCAATTACAGGTGTGATCCACTGTGCCCGGCTTCAAGGTTTTTGTTTGTTTGTTTGTTTGTTTTTTAAGATGGAGTTTCGCTCTTGTTACCCAGGCTGGAGTGCAACGGCGCGATCTCGGCTCACTGCAACCTCCGCCTCCTGGGTTCAGGCAATTCTCCTGCCTCAGCCTCCCGAGTAGCTGGGATTACAGGTGCACGCCACCATGCCCAGCTAATTTTTGTATTTTTAGTAGAGAGGGGGTTTCACCATGTTGACTAGGATGGTATCGATTTCTTGATCTCGTGATCCACCCGTCTCGGGCTCCCAAAGTACTGGGTTTATAGGCGTGAGCCACCGCGCCCGGCCCAAGGTTTTGTTTTTTTGAGACAGGGTCTCCCTCTGTTACCCAGGCTGGAGTGCAGTGGCATTATCTCAGCTCACTGCAACCTCTGCCTCCCGGGTTACAGCAATTCTCCTGCCTTAGCCGGCTTCAAGTTTTTCACGCTGACCTGTGTTCAATTCTGGCTCTTCTGACTGACATTTGTGATAGTATACAAATGTCAACCTCTATGGGCTTTTGATTTCTTACCTGTAAAATAGATAAAATTATACTGACTCGACAGAATCAGTTTCAGGAAGAGACGAGTCTCTGCAAAGCAGCTCTGGAAGTGGCTGGAGCATTCACTCCAATATTTACCTACTTGTATTGTCTGTTGCTGTTAATGACATGACCACAAAAGAAAAAAGCTCTTAGGCAGGTGGTCTGCATCTGCAGCTTGCTAGCACTCTGCCATCGTCTGTCTTCTGGCCACCCATCCCCCTACGGCAAAGCTTGCATGAAGGAGGAAAGCGTGTACATGTGCAGAGACAGGCTTGTGACGAGCACTCAAAGTCCAGTTTCTCCCTCCTAGCTGCACCCCCTGGGTACTGTGTGGTGATGCTTACCTGTAATCTTAGCTACTCGGGAGGCTGAGGCGGGAGAATCGCTTGAACCCAGGAGGCGGAGGTCGTGGTGAGCTGAGATCCTCCTACTGTGTTCCAGCCTGGGCAACAGAGCAACACTATCCCCGCCCCCCCCCCCCCCCCACAAAAAAGCACAGCCAATAAGTAGCAGATAAACACATGATCTGTTAAAGCACATATGATCTCGATGTTTTGAGTCGAGATACTCAGCTGGATCCTCCGTCTGAGGATCTCAAAGCTGCAGTGAAGGTGTTGACCAGGGCTGTGGTCTCATCTGAGACCCAACCAAGGCAAGGACCCCTTCCAAGCTCACGTGGGTCCTGGGAGCATCTGTTTTCAGGCTGCTGGACTGGGGGCCTTGGCTTCTCAGCTGTCCGCCCCTGGCCATCCCCAGCTCTGCTGCTTGCTCTTCTCCATGTGGCAGATGGCATCTTCACAGTCAATGAGGCAGTCAGTCATTCATCCACGGAAGTTGGATCCCATCAATGCTGCCATACTCGGTTTGGATAGAAGTAAGTCCCAAGCTCCTCCCACACTCGGGGGAAGGGGAGGCACCAGGGGGAGGGTCATGGGACCGCCTGGAGTCAGATGCAGTCCTGGATACAGGCAGAGGGCTGTGCTCTACTCACTGCTGCGTGTTGGAAAAGGCAAAAACAGAATCGTTGTAGTCTCTGGCTAACATGCCATTTTAGCTGTCAGAACACCTGTGGTTCAGAGAGTTGTCCTCTCTTAGAAGGGAATATATTTTGGGAGAACAGAGACCATCTTGCTCCGTCAGCCTGAGGGCAGTGCCCAGCACACAGGGTTTCTACAGACTCATAACTTCATCCTTTACGTTTGCAGTTTATAAAAAGAAACAAGGAGCTGAGTAGAAATCAAGGCGTCGTCTCTATTACTCAAAGCTCTGAAGCCAGGCCCGGGAGCCCAGGTTTCTTGGGCTCTGCTACAGGTTTCTTTTGGGCCTCTTGGCCATCTCCTAGGGTAGAAGGCGTACCCAAGTGGTGTGGTGAGGAGGGAGAGACTGGACCTTCTGAGTGCCCTTCACAAGCCTCCTGTCTCACTTTCTTCTTTCCTGCAGCAAGCTTTGCTGTGTGCAGATGGGTGGCCAGAAGACTGATTATGGCAAAGTGCTAGGAAGCTAGCTAGG